CATGCGGGATTGTACCTGAAGGTTGATGAATCCGGCCTGGATAGATGTTCTAATAACAAGTATGAGTAGACACATCTATGTTGGAGAGCTGTGACGCGCTTACTGTGTGTGTCCATGTCCGTGGCATCCAATTACAACTTCCATCTTCACCTCTTCTCGCACTTGTGTATCAAGCTTGAGTTTGACTTGATGCCTGACTTCCTTGAGCTGCCATCTTGAAAGCTCTTTCAACCATGCGGTAGCCAGAGCTTGGTGGAAGGCTTTCGATGCTCTGCGGACTTTTCCGATCGAGCCAAACTCCTCGCTGAGCTGATGAGACGACTTGACGTAGGCGGTGCTTCGAAGGGCCGGCTGCTGGATCTCCGCCACTTGCTCGCGGAGGCGTCGTAAATCGTCATTGAGTTCTCTCAAATTCTGAATTTGTTGTTCGAGATTCTCCTTGTCCCACGTGATCTTCACCTTCTTGCGTACCCGACGGACTGTATCCTTAAGGAGTTCATTCTATTTTGTGATGGTCAGCCCTCGTGCACAATTAATAGCGAGCTTCAGGCTTGAGGGTAAGAGTTCTTGCTATAGGAGGATAGGAAGGTATCCTATAAGGAAGTAAGAAGTCCTCCTTCAGGAGGGTGTCTCAAAGGATGTTTCTCCTGCTTACCTTGGCACCCATCCAAACGATCTCATCAAAGCAGGCGAGTTCCCCCTGAAGACTCTGCATTATTGACCCGATCTCGATTATATCCTGAACGGTGCTCAGGCTCTTCGGAAATGCATCGTTCAGCCCACTATGTAGCTTCCTACTACTCCATCTTGGGTCACCTGGATCTTGGAGCATATGCTCAATATCATCCTCATCCTGTTTGGCTAACCTTAGAAGGAGGTGTATCTCGTGAAGAAAGTTCTTTTGCTGTCGATCGACCCCTTTGAAGACTCGCTTCACCTCTTGGGAGTAATTGCGAAAAACTTTGATCTTTTTCTGCAAAACCAGCGACATTTTGATTGCAACGCCCGTGATTTGCAAGACGCCTAATGCAATGGTGAATGGGTCCATGGCGCACGGAAACAGCTGTCTAGGAAAAACGAAGTTACACCCCCCCCAGTTAAATACCCCCTATTTCTCAATTAAACTAAAACTTCACTAATAGGGTAAAAAATCCAATATTTTTCAATAAAACACCTTTATTAACCTATTAATATTCCTTAATTAATAAAAGAAAGGTTCTAATAATAACTAACTATTATCTATTACTATTTAAACTCTAATAATTAAAGTTTTATTTATATTTTAACTTATTACTACCTAATAAATAGCTATAAATTAAATTTTAATACTATTATAGGATAATTTAGGGCTATTATTAGAGAGTTATTACTACTTATATAGTTATTTTAAGTATATTATTACTATTATTATTAAATATAATTAAGTTAAAGTAATAAATTTTAAAGATTTATTAACTTACTTTTTATAATAAATTTATAAAGTTTAATTAATATATAAATTATATAAATTAAAAATTAAAAGATCTTCTATTTAATAAACTAAATTTATATTTTAATAAAATATAATACTTCTTTATTAAATAGTTTTAAATTAATATTACTATAAAAATAATAAATAATACCCTTAAAACTTATATATAAAGTAATAAATAAATATATATATTAGTTTATTAATATAATAAAAGCTTTATAACTATTATCTTTAATAAATATATTAATTAAATTATATAATAAAAATATTTATCTTTATTAATAAATTTAATTTTAATAAGTAAGATAATATAAAGAGAATAAATTAAGTATTTATTAAGTATATTTTATAAATTAAAAATCTCCTTAAATAAAAACTTACCTTTATATCCTCCTTATAATTATATTTAATAGTTTATTTATTATTATAATATATAAAAATTATATAATAAAAGTACTTTTATAATAATTAATAAAAGTATTTTATTAAAAATAAACTTATATTTAAACCTAAAATTAATCCTTATAATAGATAATACTTTATAATACTATAATATAAAAATATTTAAAATAATAAATATAAAAGTATAAAATATAAATATCTATTTTATACTCCTTTAATTTTAATATTATTAAAATATATTTTAATAACTTAAAATATTATTTATATTATTAATATTAATATAAATTATTAAACTATAATTTAAATAAAAATTTTACTTAATTTTATTTTTTATATTTAAAAGATTAAATTTAAAGTTAAAACTATTTAAAAATATTTCTATTATATATAAATACTAAAAAAATAAAATAAAATAAATATAATAATATTAATTAAAAATTATAAAAATTAAAATTAATAAAACTTTAATTAAATATAGTTATATAAATAAAAATATTATTTATAAATTAAATAATTAAATTAATAATTAAAGTTAAAATAAATAAATTAATTATAAATAAATTTATTTAATTAATTAATTACTTAATATTAAATACTTAATTTATTTTATCTACTTAAAATAATTAACTTTCCTTTTTTATTACTTCTTATTACTAATTATATCTTCCTATATATTTAATTATTACTTCCCTTATTTAAAAAGTCCTTTAAAACTTATTATATAATTCCTCTACCTTATTAAATATAAAAACTATTCTAATAAGCTCTTAACTTTTTATTAAATAACTAACCTAATTATAAAGCTTAATATTAAATAAAATTAATTAATTAATTAAATAACTTTTATAAACTTTATAAAGTATATATTTTTAATATTTATTTAATAATTTATTAAATAGTTATTTAATAGCTCTTATTATAATAATAAATCCTTTTATTATTATTATTATTAAAGAAATTAATAAAATCCTTTTTCCCTTTAAATATAGTTTAACTAATATTTTAATTAATAAAATAATTTTTAAACTATACTTATTAAACTAAATATTCTCTTTTATAAAATTTATAAAAATTAAACCTTTTATACCTTATAACTTTTATAAATTATTTAAATTAAACCCTTTTAATAAATTCTTAAAGTATTTTAAAATACTTTTATAATAAACTTTTAATATAAAACTATTTTATTTTCCTTTACCTATAATAATAATAATAAAAAATAACTAATAACCTTTACCTTTATAATAACTTATAAATACTATTATTATTATTACTATTAATAATAATAAAACTAAAAGCCTATTAAACCTATAAAAGAAAACTAATAATAATAATAATAATAATAACTCTATTAAGGCTATTTAACTATATTTAACTCTAAATAAATTAATATTAAATAATAAATTAATAACTATATTAATATTACTTTCCTTTTACTTCTACTTTTATTATTTCTTTTAAAAAGATAAAGTTAACTTTATTACTATTAGACTTCTTTTATTAAACTCTATTTAAACTATCTAATAATTAAAAACTTCTAATAAATACTTAATTATAATATTATTTATTATAATTATATTAAACTAATCCCTTAAATCCTATTAAATAAACTAATATATATACTATTTTATCTAATAAAATACTATTATTATAAAAATCCTCTTTATTTTAATAATAATAATTAACTTTATAATACTTATTTAAAGAATATAATTATATTTTATTAATTATTTATACTTTTTTATATAAAGTCTACTTTTACCTCTATTTATACTTTTTTATATAAAGTCTACTTTTACCTCTATTTTAACTTTTATTTAATAATTATTAATATAAATTAAAAATTTTAAAGTTTAAGTTTCTACTAAATATATTTATATTTATTATTTATTTTATTATTAATAAACTATTCCTTAAAGTAACTACCTATTAAATAGCTAATAATAACTAAAAACCTTAATTAATATATATTTAATTAAATAATTACCCTATAATATAAATATTTATAACTCTTATATTAATAATATAACCCTATAGTTATATAAAAATTAAAAAAAAATTAAAATTTAAAAGTATATTTATAATATTATTATAATTAAATATTTTAATCCTTTTATTAATATTTTTTATAATTTTTAATTATAAAATTAAAAACTTTTAATTTATAAATTAATTAACCTTAATAAAAATATCCTTAACTTAATAATTATATTTAAATAATTTTATATTCCCTTTTAATTAAATTTCTAAATAAATTAATATAATCTAATAAAAACCTTAAATCCCTTAACTCTAATCCTTCTCCTCTAATATAATACTTTATCTTTTAAATTATATAATAAAAGTATTAATAACTTTTAAGTTATAAATTTTAATAAATAAAATTAAAGTTAATTTACCTAAATATATCTATATTAAGGGTTAATTAGGTAACTTTTAAGATATTTAATATTATTATTATTATTATTTATTAAAACTCTACCTTAATAATAAAAAATCCTTATTATTAATACCTTTTAAACCCTTTTCTTCCTTATTATTAAATATATTCTCTTTATTATTAACTTAAATAGTATTCTTTTATATCCTTTAAACTACTTAATTTATTATAATAACCTTATTTTAAGTAGTCTTTAAAAATACCTATAAGTACTTTTAAATAATTTATTAAACTTTAATTATCTTAATAGTTAACTTTTAAGTATATAATTATTTAAATAATATAATATTTTATTAATAAACTATATAATTTAACTTTTAAATAGATTTTATATAATAAATATTAAATAGTTTAAATTTAATAAATTAATTTAATAATATTATCTATAAAATTAACTAAATTAATATTACTTTATATTAAAATAAATAGATTATATATACCTTTATAAACTAAACTTAAATTAACTATATAAAACTAATATAGTATTACTTTTACCTAATTAAATAATAAAAATAATTTATTATTAATATTAATAAAGTTAATAAGGGTATTTTAATAAGAATATTGGATTTTCCACTTTATTAGTAAAGTTTTAGTTTAACCAAGGAATAAGGGGTATTTAACCGGGGGGGGGCGCAACTTCGTTTTTCCCAGACAGAGGCACCAGGCGATTCCAAGGACAAGTGGATGGAGGGTGAAATTGGGTCGGATTTGGTCATTACGATGATAATCGCAAAGGTGACTGCTCGCTTCGCTCGAACACGGACAGTACCGGTAGGTAGTATGGGCGGTGGCTATACTATGAAATAGCCCACAGTTATGCCTTTCTCCTCCATTGGCTGAAGCAATGCCCCCGTGGCGTTAGCGAGTGCCTAGGTATGCACATAGCCCCACACTTCACATCATTCGTGCATGCAGCACAGCGCCTTCTGGCGGTGGCTGTGGTGAGAAATGCCTATCCCTGGCCAGGCCTGTACCCCTGCCTCTCCGCTAGCTAGCTGACACGCGTAACGTCGACCAACTTATCTGCCCGGGTATCCAGGTCCCAAAGACTTCAAAGCACCTGCTGCTTGAGTTCCCACCTCTGCCGCCTTTACAACCTTGGCTTTCAATCCTTCCTTTACCTGTCGTTGAAAGTTGTCCTGAGTGCAGAGACATGGAATCCTCGACGTCACAAGACGTACATGGCGGTACTGCTATTGTGCAGCAATACCTTCAGGATGTGGATCCATTGGGGACCGGCATGGAAGGGCAAAGCCATTTGACTCTGCTCAGTTCCCAGTGCATTTTGCTGTTTCAGATTATACTGAAGGCTCTACGTGCGAAGAGAAGTTCTGCGTCGGCGGAGCGTCAGTTCTTGGATATCAGCCTTGAAAGAAGCTATGAGCGTTTGAAGATATGGTCAGACGAGAATGGCATGGCCGACGGAAACTTAGATGCAAAGCTCGAGGAATCGCGTGATCTGCAACGCGACACACTCAAATACGTTGTGAGCATCGGTCAAGCGCTGACAGACAGTGAGTCCATCATCTAATCTCCCGATGCACAACATAACAGACCAGCAGCGGTTGACTGTACGACAAGGACTCGTCAATATTCTCGACGCCGATCTCGGTGATGCTGGCTACAAATCCATCTCCGTGCTCAGATCCCTTACTGCAGCCGTTATGGAAGGCGACAGTGACTCTTCATCAGACTCGGGGTTTTCAGATGCTAGTGTAGTCTCGATCAACGGAGTCTTGGAGGATTTAAGAGTTGACACAACTTGTCTTTTGGATCTGGAACCGCTCTTTTTCAGTCCAATATCTCGGACGAAAACTGAACCGATAGTCGTTTTAGATACCACGCGGATAAAATGGAGCCCGCACCAACCCTACAGCGACAAAGTCAGCGCACGGTTCCCGATGGCTGCAGATGAACTGGTTGCGAGGCTGGGCAAAGCAAACTATGAGCGGTATCTGAGATGCCAGGAGCAGAAATACACAAACGAGCTCGGTGTTATGCCATCTGGCCAGACAGCATCAAGTGTACCAGACGGCGCGAGCTCAAAATTCCACGACTCTGGCATTGGCTCGTCTCTACCCACCACAGGGTCTGCCTATGCAGAAACCGTCATGTCCTATGGTGCGGATGAAGGAAGAAGAGTGCGAGTACCGCCACTGCCAGATGAGGCCAAGAAAGGTCTGCCATTCGCATGTGTGGTCTGTGGTAAATGTGTCACGATTACCACGAATAGCGCCTGGAAGCAGCACGTCTACGGAGACCTTGAGCCATGGACATGTCTCGAGGCCGGTTGTACATCTGCTACCAAAACATTCCCGACTCGGAATGATTGGATATCCCACCTTTTTCTTAATCACGGAATGGGCCCAGGGTGGCACATGATCCAGTGTCCCCTTTGTCGAGACGACGTGGGCCCGGGGAAGGTTCCGATAACAAGACATCTCAGTGATCATTTGGAGGAAATATCTCTGTCAGCGTTGCCAGTTGACTGCGAGTTTGATGATGACCATGAGGACTGCGAGTTTGATGATGACCATGAGGACTGCGAGTTTGATGATGACCATGAGGACAGCGAGCACGATGGGGAAGGCAAAAACATTGAGACAGTCGAGCGGGCCTCCGACCTCCAGAATATCTTCAGAAAACGGATTACCCCACTCGAAGAAGCACATCATGAGCCGCCTGAACAAGCTTCTAGTGAGCGAGAGATTGAGCTAATGAAACGATTACGGAAGCTGGAGGGAATCGTCGAACAGTTAAGCGGCCAGATCGAGGTGCAAGCTGCAAGCAACCACTCGAGCAGCGACAATGCTCCCGGCGCAATTGCGGAGAACAAGGGAAAAGTGTCGAATGGGCCACCAGGGGCGGCAGATGAGCCGGTGATGCCGAACTTGGTTGGAGATCAACAAGAGCTAAAACCAGGTAAGATATCTAATTATCAGCACATTCATCAAGGGGCCAGTCATCCTAACCTCGTGACAGGTGTAAATCATCGACTCGAGGGCACTGCTGAGATCAAGAAACCAGCCCAGAAGTATCTAAAAAAATGGGCGTGTAATATGTGTCCGAAACGGTTCACTAGAGCATACAATCTCGGACCCATCTCCGCACTCACACCGACGAGAAACCTCTTTGGCGCACTGAAGCATTGGCTACACAAAATGAAAGCCTCGATCCTGTGTCACAAATAGGTCAAACTGATAGAGAAACCGTAGCCGACTGTGTTACGGCTCCATCATCCTACTGGAGCGTGGCTGAGATGAACAAGTTTCCCGAATTGTTGCAAAGCTTTGGCACGGATTGGAAGGCCATTGCGGAGCACCTGGGTACTAAGACGCCTAAAATGGTAAGCCTGGCCCTGACATGGTCCCCAGCGCAACTTGAAGAAATTCTAAATACAAGACGCAGGTCAAGTACTTCTACAACAATCAGATTAGCCGCGAGAGACCGGAGTGGGGTGACATAGCAACCGAGGCTGACCAGAAAGTACAAAGAGGAAAGAAACTGCCTGTCCCTCCAGAACCAGCTGGTGGCCGAAGCGTCCAGAAGCCTCCACAACAGCCGTATTATATCTCGTCTAGACTGTCGTCACTTCCTATGGACAATAAGAATCAGCTGGAAGCTTATAGCGGCCAAGCTTTCCAACACCCTCCTCCGACACAATCATCTATGCTAAGGAGACTGAATGCGCAGTCTGAATTTAACGTGTCGAGGATTTTTGAGTCAGTATCATATCGCCTAGATCTTTCCAGTGTCATGGGACAGAACTGACCTTACATTCAAGGTCAATATAAGGCTTTTAGTACACAGTCAACCCAGTGAGCGGCAGCAGTGATGGCTAGTGTTATAGCCCCCAATAGGTCTCTAAGTGATCCAAATTCAGGTACCATGGAGGTTCCTTCCAGTCAGGACACCCAGCATGTGCACGCCACCGTGCCCTCAGTTGCAACCGCCTTCACAGCTTCACATATTGCACCCAGCCAGCAATATTCGTCTGCACATGTAGAGACATTGGTTCCTCCTGCTATGTGGCAGGCCTCTGTGGCCGGTATCTACGCCGGCGTGCCAAATACCGACCGCGAAGTCGACGCTGCGCTAGAAAGCAACCGTCTCCCAACCAAGACGCAAACAAAAATAAAAGAGGACGATAGTGAAGGAGAGCTGATGGACGACAATAGAAAGCTCCCTGATGAGCACAATCAGACTGCTCTGGGTACTGGGATCTCGACTTCGTCCAACAACGGAGTGCAGAAGTCGCCAGGTCTGACACATTCCCGTGGCGGTGTCTCCATGTCCAAGGCCAACGCTAGCAGCCGCGCCCGGAGGCATCGGAGGGAATACCCATCATCATGGGGCTTTGAAAAGGGTCAGATGTCGACGAAGAAGCGGGTCCTGTCCGTTGTTGATGAAGGGCCACGCCGGCTAGCCAAGGACGGCATGATGCTGTCCACGGAGCGTGAGCTAGACGACGGGCGGTCATACGTCACGGATCTGGACGCCCAACCTATAAAGCGGGGCGAAGGCTTCCTCAACGCCGCTGAGGAGGATACGGGCATCTGGGTGTCGGATGAACAGACGGAGGAGGATTTGAAAGCCGTGCTCGAGGCTCAGTCGCAGTGAGCTGGCAGCTCTCGATGATGATCATCCCCTAGACCGTCCCTCAAAGTGTAGGAATTGCCAGAGGAAGGGAAGAATTGTATTAATCAGATCGGAAGAGGGTTCCCAAGAACGTATAAGGATGCTGGACTTTATGTATTGATTCGAAGGCAGTATGTGATTGTTGATACAGATCACCACTGAACATGCCAACGCGTCTTCCTACCTAATAACCGTGTCGCGATGAGCTACAATATCTGCACAAATCCCATGCGCATGATATTGCAACTATACACATCCTTTTTAAGCCTCACCAAGTATCGTCCATCAGAATTCAAGAAGAGGTCGGATATTCACACCCGTCAAAACGGAGGGTACACCCATACCTGGGAACTCGAAGATCAGAGTGCTTAGTTTAACACTAAACTACGAGTAATTCTCTCATAACTTTATCCCATAGGATGTTTTTCTATAGCTGGTTATAGAAGCTTGTCCCATAGGAGGTTATCCTATAAGAGCCCTGGAGGTTGTTCTATGAGAGGTTATCCCTTGGGGCTTGGGTATACCCTCCGTTTTGGTGGATGCGAATATCCGATCTCTTCAAGAATACTAGTAGTATAGGCGTAATTCACTGTATGAAGGCGCCATATGTGTTCTCGGACGTATACGGAATAGAAGCGAAACCAGATAGGCGTATATGGAGCAAGTCGTTAGGACCCTGACTATAATGAGCTCGCGAGGCTTGCGGCAAGAAAGGCCGTGTAGACATCAGTACACAGCAGGATCTATGGATGTCACCTGTATTTGTCAGGAAAAAAGGTTACCAAGCCAGGATCAGAAGACACAACAACAATGATGGACGTCATCCTGCCTCAATTTCATGCTGGGCTAATATCTGGCGAATCCTCCTTCGGCATTGCTATGCGCTGTGCCGCCATCTTGAACGGGCACTACCAAGCTGTAGGTCGAATCCTGGTCCGGTTAAATTCCTGGCCCACAAGAGGGTACTGGTGTTGCGAATAAATTTAGTACCCCGGTACTTTTTTACAAGCGGACCATAGCGCTCCGGCAGCCAAGACCTTCTCCATCAATAAGCGATCTCCACCTCGCGCCCGGGACCGTCAGGAGAAGCATGCCCGTGACCAGCCATGCAAGCACTGATGCACGGCTGGGATCTTCTATCTGAGAGAGCAAAACCCGCCAGCAAACCCCTACGCCATTTCAGGACAGCTCCACCCACCAAGGGGAACCATACTTGAGCCGCCCGACCGCAGGTCTATGAGTGATGATCAATCCCTGTAGGTGTCAGTCGGCACACTGCCGAACAGACATGATGTTACCTATAACAGCGATCTGCCAAGGATGTTTTGATTGTCAAACGCTGAATCTAGGACTGGCGGGCCGTTTCGACTGGGTGGTGCAGCAATTACCAACTGACAGTATGGGTCAGGGATACCCAACAGCCACGACGGCTCGACGGGACTGATTGGCGGGCAGATGGGATACTCTATTGGGAACTCCCATGATTCCGGAAGGGGAATTCATACGACATGGAAGATGACCCGCCGCCAAAAGGAACGTGGTGGTGGTATAAGAGGTCAGGCCCCCCAGCATCGAGAGAATTCATGCCAAATGGTAGACCAGCCTTCAGATAATTATCAGCCTAAGCCGCCCTGAATCCAGCCAAGGCAGCCTTGCATTTTCGAGGATTTAACCAGCGAGGAGAGAACCAACTATCTAGCCCAAAATGAAGACCTTCACCAGCCTCGTGGTGGCGCTGCTCGCCGTCTCGCCGGTATCCGCCCACTACCGATTCAACCAGATCAACAAGAACGGCGTTTTCAAGTACATCAGGGAGAACACCAGCAACAACTCCCCAGTGACTGATCTCGCCTCGAACGACCTGCGATGCAACACTGGTGCGCAGGGTGCTGGAACAGAGACAGTTGCTGTCAAGGCAGGCAGCTGTGCGTACTACATCATCGAATGGGCCACAACAACCGCTAACATCTGGCAGCATTCACCTTCGACCTCGACCAGGCAGTCTACCACCAAGGCCCCGTCGCCGTGTACATGTCCAAGGCACCAGCAGCCGCCTCGGCATACGCGGGCGACGGCGACTGGTTCAAGATCGCGGAGGAGGGCCCAACCTTCAGCGGCGGCAGCTCGACATGGCCGATGCGTGCCAGCTACACGTACAACATCCCGACCTGCATCGCCAACGGCGACTACCTGCTCCGCATCGAGCAGCTCGGCATCCACAACCCTGGCTCGCCGCCGCAGTTCTACATCAGCTGTGCGCAGGTCACCGTCTCGGGCGGCAGCGGCGGCGCCCCGTCGCCGACCACCAAGATCCCTGGCCATGTCAAGGCCACTGACCCAGGCTACACCGCCAACGTAAGCTCATCCAGAAGATGTAGTGGACGAACTATCTCTAATGTCTGTCTAGATTTACAACAACTTCAACAACTACACCATCCCCGGCCCCAAGAAGGTGAGTGATCCGGTCTTTACCCATCTACATGTCAAAAGCTCCTTGTGCTGACGCATGCGACAGATTGCCTGCTAAACATGTACGGACCCTCGTAATGGGATAAGAGGAGCTAGTTGTGCAGTTCGACGCCAGGCTGCCTTGCAGTGAAATTGTTGCCTCGAGATTACGCTTGTAGCATGCATGTGGTCACGTGGGCACCTAACGGGCTTCCTGGGAGACCTTGCGGAGTTTCACTTCTATGTCCATACTTATTATTACACCACAATAGACTGTCCATACAACCCACCATGGCGCCAACGTGCCCCGAGTTTTACTTCTTTGTGCGCTGCCAAACTGTGCCAGGTCGACCCATTACCCATGCCCTTCGTTTCGCCAAGGACATCGGGAAACACTCTTGCCTGGTCATGTAGCTTTTTCTTGGCGAGTTGTTGGTAGCGTATGTCCAACCTCTGCATTGATCTAGCTGCAGCATCTGGTCGGCGGAGACCCTCATCGGAACCTTGGTGTGGTTACACAGCCACGACCTCCTGTGTTCGACAGCGGTGGGAAGAGTGCCAAGGACGCAGGTGGCCCGAAAGGCTATACACAGCTGTGGGAAATGCCGTGAGCACATATTTATAACCGGCCGACCCAACATGAAAACTCCTCAATAGGCTGGCCATCATGCCAATTTTAGGTTAGAGACAGGGTCTTACTGTCCTCCCCTTTTCAGCGGACTACCCGACGTGGCCCAGAAAGAATGACTGTCTTCACGAAGCGCACCATTATTCCGCCGGCGGCGCCCGCACCAGGACGCCTCGACATCCGCTTCCCACAACGAGGACTAAAAGGCGTGGCGCAGGACGATGAGTGGTGCGAGCTCGTTGAAGGCGAGCACATCACCTCCATCCGCTTCCACGACTACGCGCAGGTCTTTAGCATCCCAGGGCTGTACGACCAGCTGTTCGGCGGGCCAGAATCCGAGACGAGGTGCGTATCACCACAGATAATGGCCGGCCTTCTGAGCGAGCATCTGCACCTCGTCCTCGATAATCGCCAAGAAGAACCGGGGCGGAGCCTGGAGGGTGACAGTAGCACGCCCACGCTGCGGGTGCTAGACTTTGGTGCGGGAAATGGCTTGATGGGCAGGGAGATCCGGTCTGTCGCCCGAGGGTACGGCGAGGGCGGTGGCAGCCCCTTGACAGAGAGAGGCTCGACGAGGATCGTGGGGCTTGATATCCTCCCGGAGGCCAAGGCCGCCACTGAGCGTGAGCGGCCGGGGGTTTACGACGCATACGTGGTGGCTGATATCATGGAGTATACCAAGGCGACACCGAGCGACCCGGCCGAGGCGGCGGTATTTGCGCAGGGTTTCAACGTGCTGGTGTCTGTCAGCGCACTGTGTTTTGGTGACGCAGGCGTGCGGGCGTTCAAGGCTGCTGTTTCGCTTGTTGAGGCGGGAGGGCTGTTGCTGTTCAACCTGAAGGAGGACTTCTTTGACCCAGCAGGCCCCCAAGACGGTGTGGAGGAAGCAGATGGGCCTTGCGATGGGAACAACTTCTCGGGTCTCGTCCGAAATGCTGTTGGGAAGGGTGTCCTGTCGATTGTGGTCAAGAGGAGGTACTGCCATCGTTATTCTGTGACTTGTGAACTGCTGTATTACATCGCTGTTGTCGCCGTCAAGCATGCCTCCTTGGGCTGAGGTTCTGCTGGATGTCAAATGCTCTTTTCAATCATGCCTACAGTTAAATCAGAGTTACTTCAGCATCTCAGCCTCTAAGTCGACCTCGACTCAACGACAAATTTTCAGTGGTCGGACTGACCATGCGCATGAGCCGGTTGTCAACCGACGTCCACAATTTGCATCATATGCGAGCCTTCGCATGGCATGCTGGAAAGCGTCAGTGCCCCAGTGCCCTTCAAGCCGTTCTGGACCAGCGGCATGTTATCGACCAATCCTTGTGCCGGTTGCACTGCCCGATGTGCCAGTCGGTCTCACCCTGGCGATGACCCTCGGGCAAGTTCCACGACATGTGTGTACTTCCACATTTTCAGTGTGTTGATGTCCATTTGCACCGGCCAATATCTAGCCTTGGAGCACGACACAGTAAAGGGCGTGATTTGATCCGAAATGCCGTCATGTCAAGTCTGAAATTTGGCCGAGCCGCTGTCTGAGAAAAACGAAGTTGCGCCCCCCCCTGGTCAAATAACCCCTATCCATATTTTAACAAAAAAACACTTATATAATAAAAACAAAACCTTTTATTCTTATAAAAACTTTAAAAATAGTTAATTTTTATTCCTTTTTATAATTAAAAGGTTTTTTTATTTAAATATATAATAATTAAGTATAAATATTTATAATTAATCTTTTTTAAAGAGGGTAGTAACCCTAATAGTTTTAAGGAAAGGATTAGAAGAAGCCTAACTTGTATTGTGTAAGTGGTGGTGTTTTTTTTGGTTTAATTAATGAATAGGGGTCATTTGACCGGGGGGGGGCGCAACTTCGTTTTTCTCAGACAGCGGCGCCGATTTCATTACTCAGCTTCCGGTCACCGGCCCGCGGGCAGCTGCGAACGACCGGGTCCGGCAGCGATGCAACGCGGGGATCCATTGGGCGATTGCAACCAGTTGACATTCCTCCGGCTTTATTCGTCGGTTTTTTTTTGCCGCAGATTTTCTGGTACTGTTCTTCCTTGGACCTCCAACATCCAGTATCCTTCCAAGGTTCCTCCTACCTGCCATGCTGCACTGGTGATCGACCAACATGGCGGGAGCTTCAAGAGACGAGAGAACACCGCTCCTCAATGGCTCGACAAATGGCCACCAGAATGGAACCACCACTGCCAATGGGCCCATTGGCAACGGGAACGGCATCGGCAACGGCACGGTGGGGGAGTATGACGCCGCCGAGGCCAAGACGAAGGGATCCTGGGCCACGCGGATCTTTGGGCCCCCAAACACGATCAAGGTCCTCCTTGCCGGCTTCATCATCACCTTCGCCTTCAGCTTCACCCAGGTGCCCATCTTCTACGTCTTTCACCTGATGGAATGTGATGTCTACTATGAGACACACCCGCCGCACACCGGGCCAGGAGACCGATGCTCCGTCAACGAGATCGCAGCCGGGACCGCAACCCAGTTCTCAATCCTCGGCATGAGCACCACCTTTTGCGGGACCGTCAACCTTTTCATCACGGGCTGGTCCATCAAGAAGTGGGGACCGCGCGCCGCACTCGTCCAGCAGACCTTCATCCCGGCCATCAGGGTCGCCACCCAGGTCATTGGCGTGCTGGCCGGTGGCAACGCAGGCATCACAATCATCCAGACCACGCAGCTCATCACCATCTTCGGCGGCCCGGCAGGGTACATTCTCGTGGTCAACACCATCGCCGGGGAGCTGGTGGAGCCCATGCAGCGCACCGCCGTGTTTGGCCAGCTGCAGGCGTGCATCATGCTCGGCCAGGCCATCAGCTACCTCCTGGGCGGCATGGTCGGCGACGTGTTTGGCATAAGGATGCCCTTCCAGGTTGCATTTGTCCTGTTCCTGTGCGCCACGCTCTACTCCCGCACGGTGCTACCCTACATAGACCCGGCGTCGCTCTCGGACGGGAAGAAGACAAAGGCCAAGGGAGTCAAGGGCTTCCTCGCTCCGCTCAAGATCCTGGCCCCACAGCGCATACGGTTCATGGACGGGCGCGTGGCAAACCACTTCGGCGTCTTCTTCCTGTGCTGCGGCATCTTCCTCGCCGTGCTGGCGACCAGCTACGGCCCGCTGCTGATCCAGATGTACGCCACGGCATACTTCGACTTCACCCAGGCCGACAACGGCTGGCTGATGAGCGGCAACGCGTTGTGCAGGAGCATCTTCTTGTTCTTCGCCTTCCCAAAGATCATTGACGCGGGGAGGAAGTGGTGGGTTAGGAAGGTTGAGGGCCCTCGGAATGCTCCGCCGCCAGCCAAGGACCCGAACGCCCTGTCCCGAATACCATCGCGGCCCGAGCAGCTGGAGGCGCCGATGTGGTCCGGCAACCAGAACTTGCAGGAGGAGTCCATGCCTGAGCCTGAGACGCGCCTCGACCAAGACCGGACCGCAAGTCAGTTTGATCTTTTCTTTCTCCGATGGAGCCTGCTGCTGGATGGGTTGATGACTGGTGCAGCTGCTCTGTGCACCGAGAGATGGCATATATTCCTTGGTAAGTATTATATATCATCGTCTCCCTTCCTTTGAAGCGCATCTGTCCAAGTCGTATGACATCGTGAGGGCTTTTCTTACTGATTCAACTTCACATAGCCTCATTCCTGCTCCCATTGGGGTCTGGCTCGGCTCCCGCCGCGAAAGGTGTCATCACGGAGATGTGCTCGCACGGCGACCGTACCGACGCCCTGAACGCGGTGACACTGGTGGAGAACATCGCGAGGCTGGCCACGCAGGGCCTCTTCGGATTCATTTTCTCTGCCCTGGCCGAGACCGGGAAGGCGTACATGACCTTTCATGTCAACGCTGCGCTTGCGATTGTGGGCATGGCAGTGCTGTATCTATCACATTTCCCCCCAGCGAACGCCACTATATTGGAGGAGAACGAGGGCGGTGATCAGGACGACTCTGCGGACGTTGATACCCCGAATCTCGCCAGAGTCACCTCCCACGAGACGGACCGATGAAAAGCTACAGAATGCACATTATAGAAGGAGATTGAGAGCGTTGATGCGGCATTTTCTATGATTGGCACGTTGGAGGCTGCTTAAATCATCGCCGGCAAGCGTAACGGCTGCTCTTTTAGAGAAGACATATCACGTATAGTGTTAATGATACCAAGAAATTCGAGATCTACAGTTTATCAAAATCCCTGGATTCGTGCTCATGCTTAATCCCTTAGCAGGATACATTCCCAAGGGTTCTCAGCATAGAACACTGAACGAGAACGCAACCATTTGCTTGAATAATACGACCACATCTGGTGGATATCAACCAGTGATACAAGCCACAATTTCCCTGGAGGAGGTACCTTGGGTATAGGTACAGGGGGTTTCAATATATCTCGTTTGAAAAATCTAACAAGTCCACAGCTACACGGTACACATGATCAAGAGATATTGCTTACACGTTCAAGGTGCCGGTGGCCCTCGGTTGTCTCCGCCTCGCTGACCTCGTCGCGCCCATGCTACGTTCCCAGGATAGACGACCCCCATAGCAGCCATGGCGAACTGGAGGTTAGTCATTGTACCCCGTCCTCCATCAGCCTGCTGAGCCGCCGGGCGAGAAACGGTAGCAGTCCCCACCTGGGTCCGCCTGTGAGGGCCCACCGACCCCGAAACACGGCGTACGGCCCCGCGAAACACGCGCCTGATGCCACGCCCTGCCCGCTGCGCCAGGTTCCGCAGCCCGCCGCCGCCGCCACCACCGTCGCCTCTCGACCTGAACGCGTTCCTGACGGCAGCCCGCAAGTTGCTCCGCTGCGGCCGCACCCCGATCACAACGGGCTGGTTGCCACCAGCACCACCCCCTGCGCCCTCGATGCCGGCGTCGACTTCCCGCCACCCTGACGACGACCAACGGACGTGCTGGATACCGGCGGCAATCTCCGGGCCCAGGATCCAGGCGGCAGGGTCCTCGATCTCTTCGATCCCAAGCGAGGATGCGGTAGGCCGCGCGGGCCCGGCCCGGGGCGTGGACGGGGCGGCCGGCGACGTGGGCGTGGTCAGGATGTCCCTGATCGAAGTCCTACCTTCCGTGTTCGGGTCGCCGTCCCTTTGGAAGGAACGGATGTTGCCCACGATAACGTCCTCTAGCTGGCGGAAGTCTGGTCTTTTCGCTGGGTCGTGCACTAGATGGCACCAGGTAATTTGTTAGCCTCATGGTAATACCACGATACGGCCTCGTCTCGCGGCACTCTGGCGGCTTGTTTGCTGCTTGTTTTTGAATGCCGTGAAATCTGGGTTTGCTGGGGGCCATCGAGTCGAACAAAGTATGGTTGATCGGCCAGGAGAAAATCACTTACTCATGCACCATATTACCATGGACCTAAGTGTCGCGTGGTAGTCCTCGGCGCCTTCTTCAAATAAGTCGTAACCATATGTAAAACCATTAACGGTATCGTAATCATTTGGTCGCAATTGAATGTCCGTGGCAATTGGTGGCATCGCGGTACAGCATCGTGTCATGAGCATCCACATGACCTGTTGCGCTTGTGTTAATTACCAAGGTAGGTATCCGCGACCACTTAAGCCATTCTTTGCTCTGAAAATAAACAGAGACTCACGTTTCCCACCGCGTATAGATTATTTTTCCAGGTATAGTTCCCTGCCACTGGCTCATTTGTTGCAGAGGGTACATCGGCTAGATAATCCCATTCCTGGGTGAATTGTTCCTATCCCAGACAGATGTTAGGTCCAGTGTCGATACAGCACTCGAGACTTGTGTCAATTTCCTTACTGGTGTGTGATTTTCTACTTTTCCCATTTTTCTGGTAGCCAACATGACATACCTGTCACCCGCATCAGTAGTGCTCAAGTGGACCACGGGACCGAGGCCCTTCGCTACAAGGAGAATGTACATGTTATTACTCTTGAACCGTTGAAGCTCATCGAGCCGCATGGCGACACCCAGATCACTGATCTCGAAGACTGTTAATGACCCTGAAATTTCTGCCATCATGAAAGGCCGCTCTATACCTTGAAAATGGGGACGGTCTCGTGAGTGTGACTTCCCGGGTCAGCTTCGTAATCGCCAATTAGGACTTTTCGTGTATTAGCTTGACCCACTAGCATCAGATATGAGGACGAAATGCTTACTATTATCAGGGTCTATGTCGAAATGGATCATGGATTCTTCCGTCTCCACAGGCCCGATCGGTGGAATAGCTTCGTCTAGTAACGGGATGGGGTCTCTTTCGGGGTTTAAGCCCCCACTCCACGTTCTGGGGCGAGCCAAGGCCACGCAAGCCCTGAAGACTGTGAATCCGTGTCAGTATGGCAGACAAGTATTCAAGAGTTCCTGCTTTTTGAAACTCACGGCAATGAAATATCATCCATAGCTCATCATCCCTTAGCTTCAAATTTTGACGGGATACTTTCCTGAGCAAGGCGTCGAGAGAGCCATGCTTGAGCAGTTCCATCCCGATGATGCTGTCACGCCCATTTGAATTGAGGGCAATCGGGTCCGCGGGCAAATTTCGACCACGTACCCTGATAAACTTGCGTTGCACCATGTGTCTTGCCCCAACCATTCGCTAAACCGACATACCGCAGTTATTAGCAAAGTGCTTGGGGATACTGTGGTATGCCGAATGATACGAGCAAATCGCAACAGATTCTATTGCTCGCCGACCTACCCTCATGTTTCTTGCCTCGCGCTTTAGATCGTTATCCTCGAGAGGAGCCTTGACCACCCACTCTTCCGCCTGTCCATTCTCGTCCAACAAATCCACAAGTATCGCGATGCCCCCACCGCCCTGGCCGAGCGTCTTCTTGAAGCGAAAACCAAGCGGCTGCAGGGCTGTCATGATCGGGTTCTCGCCCCTCATTATCTCCCCGTCGGCACGGCGAAGCTTTTCGGGATTTTGTAGAGCTTCGATAGTGTGATAGCGCATAGTTGCCGGGGGTCGCTGGTCAACCTGGACCATGCGTGGTCGTGTGGGGTCGCGGGGGTCTGGCTGTGGCCCTTGGTCCCCGGGTGTCCATGATGGCCGTTGGTCCTCGAGTGCCCATGATCGCCTCTTCGGGACTGTGAACAATTCATAAATTGGACGCCGCAACCCCCTCTCATGCTGTACTATCCATCTTCTTTCGTCGTAAAGACCTCTCCGGAAGGCCGCCCAATAGTCTAATTGCTCTTGTTGCTGTGGTGGGCCTGTCAGTACCCGCGACGCACTGGATTCTACACCCGCAGCTGATATATCGGCCATTCACTTATGAAGGAGAGGGTACTGACTTCAAGCTTGAGATCCGCATCAGGTATGTCAAACGGTCCATCAAGTGGTGCGCCCCGGCTATCGAATCCGTCTAGTCGGCCGAAGGCACTTTGTGTGTTGCTTCTGACGCGATTCATGATGTAAATAATGTATCCAGGGCAATTGACTCCGGGATGTGTGAGACCAGTCTTCCAAGGTTCGTCTGTGAGGCTTTTGGGGGATTATCCACGAGACAGTTGGCTACACAGAGGGTTAGTATTGGTTCTTTGTCTCGTGGGGCTTTCGCCCATTATCTACCGAGGTATATGTCACAAGAAAGAAAAGAATTGATGACTGAGCCGTGTGTAAAAGTGGTCAATGGTCCAGGTCCGTTTGCGGAACGGTGCACTTCCTAGGTACATGGAAAAAGAAAAGACACAGCACTTGATTTCACGAAGATGGGGGCTACTCATTCGCAGCTCATCTGAGGGTTGTTCTGGCAACCACGGTCAGATGTATTGCGTGTTGAGGAGCGCAGAGACCCACGGCAGGATTCAAATGCAGTGATGGAGCTACAACTTCATTGTTCATTCATGGTTCTTTGACTGTTCGCATCTCCAACTCGGGAAGATTACCAAGACAATGCATTGTCAGACCCTATGACTTCAAATTGTCTTCTTTGCAGGGCAAGAAGCATCACAATAGGTATTATTGCATCCACCCATCCCTGCTTTAGACTCGGTAGGACAAAGACAACAGCCTCCCTACACGGCAACAATACCTAGATAGAATTGTATAAATAAGGAGATATCTCACCCCATCTAGTATATTGATACACCACATCTACCCCATTAGGGATCCCATCTTGTCAACCTCTACAGCATACACACGGTCAACACGATGTGCCTTTTCCAAAGATCCGCCTCGAAAAAGAAACGTGCTGCAGCACGACCTATCCCGCGGCAAGCCGCGCCAGAGCCTCACGGCGAGACGGAGTTTCGGCGCTTCATGGATCCTTCTTTTGACCCCGAGGACGAAGAGGCGATTCGCTCAATGACCAACACGCTGAGACAGGAGAGCTTTGCTGCTGAGGTTGGAGCTAACGCTTATAGGACCCCAGTCGCAAGTCGGCCACGTCGCTACTATGGTATCAAGCAGCAGCCCGGACCATTGCAAGCTGGATAGAACACAGCGTCCTCGCTCTGCACTTCAGGCTACGTGAGATAGGCAGCGTGAATAGGTCGCCCTGTGACTCAAAGGTAGGAAAACCTCCAATTTGTGAATGAGCTAATCTTGTGTAGGGATGTGAATTTTAGACTTCAGGGAACAGGGGTAAAAGGTAGGTGAGCCCAGTCTGTGGAATAGCTAACTTGAGATAGGTACCTACTTAAGTAGGTAATATGCGGCTTCGCATACCCTCTATCGTCCTACTAACCTCCTCTGGCGCTAACCATATTCTGATGTCTCTCGGCATGCTCAAACTCTTTTTCATATCATCAATCATAATCATCCCAAAAAGGGTTCAAAAACTCAATGTCTTTAAAGATCTCAAATTCTACATATGTCAATGCCTCGTCGTCCTAGTCTCTTGGTCTGTTTTCATTTTGGGGTTATCCTAAGAGCCTGAGGGGGGGGGGCGCTCTGTTGAAATCTCACTGTAGACCGAGTCTCGATGATTTACCTATCTAGGTATCTACTGGTAGGCAGGCTACTCCAGTACACATCGGCTGGAAATCCAACTTATTCTGTCGTGAACCAGTGTCCGTGCCAAGCTAGTCCCCAAGATCATTAGCCATCACCATAATGCTCCAGCAGCGATCTACCCTAGGGTGCCCAATGGGCATCAAACGTTGGGCCCCGGCGTTCTTCAGCCCCAACCGGCTTGGCAGGGCAGAGGGGACAGCCAGCTGCCTTACCAGCCAAACGCCTCGGCTGTTGGCTCGGTTGGGTTGTAACTGCCACCCTCCCCAATTTTGGTCGTTTCTAACACGTCTAACGCGCTCCTGGAGGAGTCAAAGGCACGCCAGCTCTCGCACTGGGCCCACCTGTCTATTACTAGTTTTATTTACGTGCATATGTCCTTGAAACACCACGGCCAGGTCTATAGTAGTGTATGTCTCTGACATGTGTGGTGCTTTTTTGAATCCGGAGGACCAAGGCTCATTCCGCGGCCGTGTGGGGCTTGTGGAGCGGCCCCGGGGTTATGCTTGAGTGGTTTCGTTTTTTAATCCCCATACTTGTAAAATGTACGTGGCGCCTTCATACAGTGGTAAACGCTCAAGACCCAGCGTTTGAAGAATTACAGTACCAATAACAGTGGAAAGAGAATACAGTTGGGTTATGCTTAAATGAGGACTCCTTCGACTCTCGATAACGATGTGGCATTCTCTCCACCACGGTAAGACGCGAATGCCTGATCACTCCGTGTCCCCCGATACGGTCTAGTGTCCGGGATATTGCGGCACAGCAGCAGGCCACAACAAGGTATTGCCAAAGCAAAATGAGCCATCGCTTTCCACGGGGTAAGGACCGGAGAATCAGGTCTCCTTTGCATCTGGCATTCGTCACGACCCCGATCGTCTCATGCCCGCGACCTGTCATCTTCATCTGTTCTGAAGTCTGAATCCTCCCACATTTCTAGAATCATCAATAAGCCCGAGGGCTGGTGATTGACCGTCATGTTCTCCCCGGCCGAGTTGAGGACGAGCGCCGAGAAGGCGGTGATGACTGCGCGGGAACCACGCGAGCAGCTATCCCAAACCCACGATGATGAATTCACCGGGCCGCCTGTTGCCCTCCTCAGAAGGCATCGAAACATATCAATTATTTCAGATGCCGAGACTGCCGCCTCCAGCATGCCGCCGCCAGCGCCTGTTGTGACTGGTAATCGTCGACCGGGCAAGAAGGACTCTGCAAATGGATTGGAAAAGCATCGCGAGCAGCTGGTGAGCCTATTTTGGATTCGTGATCTACCTCTGAAAGAGGTACAGGCGACCATGAAAAGACAACATGGCTTGGATGTTAGGTGAGCATTAAACCCCCGATCAAGTCAAGGCCACTTCCAATATGCTGACCCACAGGGATCGATCGCAGCACCAAGGTCTACAATTCGCAGTTCCGAAAATGGGGCATCCGCAAGAATCTCAAGCGCCACGAGGCCCTGGAGCTGGCCATAGGACAGCCGGAAGGCCCCTCATCCATATTCTGGCCAGATAAGAGGGATTCAGACTACGCAGTCCGCATCGATCGTCATCTGAGGAATATCAGACGCCGACCCGGTTTGACACCCCCGTACGCCCGAAATGATGTCAGAGCCACAGCTGTGAACCCGCCACGGAGGCTTCGGGGACCGGACACCCTCGAAAAGGTCGAAGCAGCCAGCTACTATCTTCATATGTATATCGTGGCGAACCATGAGCCAGAAACATGGTTCAGACACTGCCCTTGTTACGGAGAGCAGGGAAGCTTCAGCTCCCTTTTTGTCCGAGGCCTGGATTGCCTAGCCCGGCACGAGAATCCGCGGCAGGCTTTCAAAGATATAAACCTGGCGTTTGACCAACTGCAGCAGACCATCACCGGGGCCCATCCGTTGGCGTACATGCGGCTGATCGATACCATTGCTGCTTTTAGCCAATATACGAACTCTAGAATCTGCTTAACCGTCTGTCATATGCTTTCGGACCACGTACAAAGGCTATCGATCATCGTCCATGGACCCAACCACCCTCTGAATCACGTTTGGGGCGAGGCACTGTGCGTCTCAACCGGCGAGACACCGGAATCTTTTGTGGTTGCAGTCGGCAAATCAATGCTTCGAAAATGTATGGTGAGACGAGATAGATGCCCATTGGAGGCTTTCGACATTGCAAAATGTGTTCCCAGCGACGCAAGGGGCCTAGACGAAGACTCTCTACGCAGAAGTCTCGAAAACACACCTCCGAACTTAGATCTTTCCAAGGCGCAAGAGACGAGGCTCGCGCTTGCTGAGCTATTGATCAGCCAGAACAGTTTGGCTGAGGGTTGTCATTTCTACAGGGTGGCAATGGCATTCCAGGATGATGACCCAGTGCGTCGTGCGAGCAAAAGGTTCTGGGCAGCCGAGCTGCAATGGAGATCAGGAAGCACATGGGGTTCAATTGACACCATGAAGGCAGCACTCGCGTGTGCCAAAGTCGAGCCCGAGGATGTGCAGGGTGATGGAACCACGGAGATGTTGAGGCAGGAGATAGAAGGCGTTTTGAACCGGAGGCCTAGCCTGCTTGCGACGAGGGAAAAAGCCAAGCATGTCCGGGCTGGGCACAAATGCCCGGCAATATTGTTGTAAAGCAAAAATGGTTGAAAGGGGCAACTCAAAGAATCATAAGCCGAAGGGGGAGAACTACCCTTCAGTCAAGCGAGTTGAAAGACAAATAAACTTCGAAGTCCAGGTGGTCTTATACCACGAGGAATTAGCTACTTAAGTACCTACATAGATGTGCTGTAAACTCCGCTCACACTTTGAACCCTGGAACTTGAGGTACGTAACGTTAGCTCCGAAATCTACAGCATCTTTCTCCGCTGATTTACAGCAAACAAAGGGAATTGTTGCTAAATCCTTTTTCAAGGGTGGTGTTTCTAGCAATATGGTTAAAAAGACTTAATTCAAACAGGTACCTAGGTATGCTCGGTATTTACGGGATCATTCCGCTTGTCACAGTCTCACGTGATATCTCCACCGGCACCCTCGGGCATGACTGCCTTTCAATTTAGAACAGAGCCTATGTTTCCGCCAACAAGTGCGTTCGACCCTAGGAATAATGGCTCTTGAGAACGACCGATCTGGGGCCCGGACTTTCCAGTTCTTCCCTCAGCTGCCCAGGGAACTACGCGACGCTGTCTGGAGAGAATGTCTGCCCCGCCGCGTCGTAGAGATCGACATCCCGCTCGGCCTTGTCTCCCTCGGCGTATGGCTGCCCGGTCTCGATGGTGATAGATGGGATGAGGATGGCCGCACGATCCATGGCGATCAGGAAGGCCGGGGTTGCTGTATGGAGCACACGACACGGATCAACTCTGCTCCTCCCGTTTTAACACGCGTCTGCCGCGAGTCCCGAATGGTGGCGTTTGAGACCGGACGCCTGCTACGACACGACCATGGCCCGAGCGGGCATGGGAGACACGGTATGCAGCTGAGGAGACGCGTTGGCGGGCAGCTTAGGAGACGCGGTGCTGTCCCTGACATTGATCCCTTTGTTGATAAGCACTGGCTCGACCCGGCTCGCGACGCCATCCATCTCCATCACCCAAAATATCTGGAGCCGGGCATGAGAGTGCAGGCCAAGGGAAATCCATTGGCTTTCCTGTCCCAGAGAAGTTCACTCCACAAAGTCGCGGCCTCGCTGACATATGGCTTCATCTGGGACCGCCACATACATCTTGGATGGTTGGAGAGCATGGCTTTGCTCGAAGACCTACACGAGATCTCAGTCTGCGTCAAAACAGTACCTAGGTATGCATCCACATCTCTAAAGGCCCCGCCATCCAGTCAGGAATTTTCGGTGTGCTTGGAGAGGAGCGAGTAGTACTGGTCGAAGCACTCGACCACGAGCGTATCAGCAAATATCGCGCGCTGTGGGAGACCCATCGGGTGACAAGGGACCCCTTGACCGAAGATTTCTTCACAAACTACCACAACGATGACTCGGCCATTGTCATGACTGAGAGGAACTGTATTAAGATGACCGTCCGCGACGCCATAACGGACGTACAAGTGGGATGGGCTCTAAATCGGTGGCGTGAATATGGGTACAGAACACTCGAGTTGAACAGAGAGGGTGTTTGGTACACCGATCTGGCTAAAGGTGCGACTGTTGCCACTGGTCGAACCACTTTCAACAATTCGGATCATCCATGGGTGAAGGAAGTACACTCGCAGATGCCTAAATTTCGCCCTGTGAACATGTTTCGTTTATGCACTCATGCATGCATGGAGCTTTTAGGTGAAGTCACTTGAGTTGAGTTATTTGCATGTTTATTTATTTGTTCCAATAACAAATCCAGGATTCAATATCAAGACTAGGGAGCCTTGAGTTCTAAAGTTACAAGTGACCGGACTATTATTTTCTCTGCCGTGATACATGCCCAAGATCAACTTGAATGGCGTGCTCTTTTAGACAGTCCATATTATGTTCAATGATGGTCAAATAGCAACTCAGCTGCGAGGTGTTGATTACCGCTGTTAGGTATTCGCTTCGCAAGATCCCGGGTAGAGGCCGCTCAATGCTGGTGGGGGTCAAACTTGAAGGCATCGATACCGACCACATCAGGGAACGAAGCATCTCCTTCAACCGAGAAAGACAGAGTTGTCGTATTTATGAGGCAGGAAAACCGGCCTATAACATATGAAGACCATAAGACAAGTGATTTATGGAACATGAAGGTCGAAGAACAGTATCAAACCGTGTTGGAAGCTGAGGTTCTGGAGATTGACCGCGATCCAGATGAATTTTGCACCCACTGATGACTGAACACGTTGGCCCAAGGGTCTTGCATTCACAGAGACTTGGTACAGCCTGGTAATGCTACACCTGAGAAATGGCCCTTGAAAATCAAGACAAAGCTTTTCTGTGCTTCGCTGTGGCTTGGTCACAACGACCATCTGCAAGTTCACCTTTGTACTGTTTATCAAACAATACCTATTGTATTCGGATTCAGAAGGGCAACTGCGTCCAAATAGCATTGCAGGCTTTGTTCAAGATACGGTGGTCTTTGTTTCATTCTCGATGGCGGTTTCTACCCACTGTCCCTCTTCCAAGTACATAAATTGCCCTGTGTGAACTTGATGCATAGATTGTATTCAGCTCCACATCCAATACGAAGAACCAACACACAACCAGCAATTTCAAAGTCGAGGTCCTCTCCGAAAGCCATTATTTGTACTTCAAAATGTCTAGCTCAGTTGTCAACCCTGCTGTCCAGGACATGTTCACTGAGGCAGGTAGCATCATTCACCGGTTTGGCGATCAGCAGCCATATGTCTCGAAGGAAAAATATATGGGCAACGTGGAAGAGGTTGCTGGTCTGCTTGAAATGAGCAGGCAAAAGCATGCTGAACGAATGATGGACCCAGCTCAACATTTTGATAATGCGGTTGCTCATGCCCTGATTCGGGAAGTCGCAGAAAGTGTCGAGAAGCCAGGTAAGGACTGTATCCTGGCGGGGCTTGTAGAGCTCGCTTTCAAAATTCTATACAGTGCCCGCGTACCAAATCCAGCGGCAACGATGAGCCTTGGCTCGCTCATCAGCGCAGCCGAATCCAAGCTGCTCAGCGTTAGGAGCCAGCTCGTGGGCTGGCTAAGAGAGTGTGACGGGCTTGGGCCAGCTGAAAGGCGTAAACGGCTGGAAGAGAGTGAGAAATGGAACACCTTGTCCGCCTACATCGTCATTGTCAGCTTCATGAGTCTGCTTTGCAGCCGTCTCGGGGAATCACGGTCGTGGAGACAAACTGATGACTTGAAGACTTTGAGCCGCGCTGGATTTCGTATTGTGTGCGACTATATGCGGCTGGACCAGGACCGTATGCTCCCAGCCGAGTGGCGTAGCTTGCTTATGCGTACTATCTTGACGTGGCTCGACATATCTAAGGACGACTTCCTCGTGGAACTCCTCGCGGAGCCAGCCCTGGGACAAATGGAAATCTGTGTCTGGCGTGATCGATTCGACGATTTCTTTCACCACTTCCCAGCCATTTTTGATGGGGACCTCGATTTCAATTTTGCCGACCAGGTAAATGAAATCACCTTTTGGGCCGAATTTGTGGAATTCCGCCGCACAACCGATTTAGTCGGTATGCATGTGGAGGGCTGACGGAACAGGATAGACCTCCGGTGTATGCTCCGCAGGATACCTACCTAAGTAGTTAGAATGGTGATAAAACTTTTCAGTGCTATTTTCGATTACATTTGATTGCTACAATGTTCATTCACACCTCTTCTGCTTTCCCGTGTCACTGAGAACCTTGATTACCAGGTATGCTTCTATTATCTTTAATGATCATGGGAGAATCCGTGCTTGCTTATAAAATTAGAAACACGATGTTTCAAAACAGGCTCATATCTACCTAGGTAGGTATACTTCAGTAGGGACCTAGGCACCTAACTACCCTAGGGTACGTGCGATCCAACTTAGGAGTCGCGATTACGACGGATCTGATTGCTCGCCGTTGCCGCACATCTACCCTACTCCGAGCAACTCCGAGTCCTTGTTGAAATCCGAGTCCTTGCTGAACTCCGAGTCCTTGTTGATATTTATTGCCACCAATACGTCACTTGTGAATGTAACATTTGTGGATCTGTGACCGCAAGAGAATTGCGGAGTTAGCAAGATCTGTCAGGCCACGGCCCTCCTGTCCGAGTACCGAAGAATCGTCATGATGGAATTTCGGGTTGTTGAAACTATCCTCGCGCGAAAAAAAAGTCTCCGGACCCCTATCAAGAGAGTGTCGGGTGACAAACAATGCCAATGTGCGCTGAGCTAGTGCTGATCTCCGCGAAGCATAAAGAGCACGGATGTGTATGTCAGACTCCTAGGCGGCGGGTGCCAGGCAGCCAGGAACACTCCAGGCGTCCGCTCAAAGTTGGGAACCGAATCCTTCGGCCAATGCAGGTCCCGTACAGACTGACTCCAAGGTGAGCTTCACATGGCATTCCTGTTGACTTTGCCTGTTCTGATGAGTGTCGCCCGGAATAAATAGCGGCTTATGGTAAGTCAGAGGCAGGTTGAGTTGGAGCGGTGACAGACGGTATTTACCGCAACCCCCTGCAGGCGTTTCGCAACATCACTAACTTCAATTCGTATGAGGAGAGGGCCAGATCAATTTGCAGAACGGCCAATATGTTGGTACGTAAGCAGATGTGATGTCTTAGTAGGATTATGTTCCCGCATAATCCAGTGCGGCTTCAGCAGTCTGCACTCATATGACATACGCCATCTTCCTGATACACTACCTGCCCGCCTGCTCGGACCGACGCCTCGCATTGAATCTCGATTTCCTGTAGTTTAATTAAAAGGTCCAATCACAGGGGTGTTGCCAAGGAGGAGTTCGCCAGTCTGCTGGGTCTTACACACCCATGCACATGCATCATGCGTGTAAGCTTACATACCCATCCGAGTCTGGCTCTACCGTCACATCGCCCACGGCGGGCCGGGTCGATCTCTCGTCACCTTCAGTCCCACGTGCTGCCACTGTTCACTGGTGAATAGGCACAGACCTTGATTGTGTTGTACACTTGTACCGCAGGAGAAACTTGAGGAACCGGGGACCTTCTCTTGTGCATTATTCCGGCCGCTTGTCTGACAAGTCTGGGCCACAATAGTCGCGGTATCTGAGGCTTGACGCCACCATTACCAACAGCAGTGCTATCTACACCGCCCATTGAGATTGAGGACCGTGCATTGGAGCCCTATGTATGCGGTCTGAAATGGTTGTGGGAGTCACAACGGCCAGCTTACGGCATCCATGGAGTCTAGGTCCCTCGCTTCGTGCAAAAAAGGCTGGGACTCGACTTCGCCACACGTGTGGAGCAAGACACGAATGGACCCGGCTAGCGAATTTCGGGGTCAACTGGGATTTTTCGTCCGGAGCGCACCAGTTTTCCGTTCCTTATGGGAGCGGCCATCAGCCCTACTGCCAAAATAATCTAGAAAGGAGGTGTAAGATGTCATCTTACTATCTACAGCTTCAACGTTTCTCTGCTGAGAAATCTACGTCAATGCTTTCAAAGCTACGATCCTAGCGCTTCTCGACAGTCGGCGTTCACCTACGTAGGCACCTGGGTAAGCACACACGTGCTGTATACCGGTTCTAGAAAATGTGAAGAAGCCCCAACGCGGGGGTTGACCTGCATGATAAGAAGCATCCCAGTCGCCTCAGACGCCCTGCTACTTGTATGCATTCTTTGTCATCTGGCATAACCACAACACCCACTGTCGCACCTAAGAATGTCGGCCAATACCCGTCCACAACTCAAATTCTTTCTCTACTCGGACCCAGAGGAGGCAAAGAAGCCAGACAACAAGAGACAAGTCCGTATCCACGTTGCCCGCAATTCTCACGCAAAGACCCGAAACGCCCGGACCAAGACGACCAAAACATGCCAAGCACGAGGAGGAAATGATTGCCTGCAGTACCAGGCCAGTGGGAGCACGTCTGGTGGGCAGGTCGCTTGTCGAAATTGGGCCCTGTTACCGCCCATGTCCTCTGGGCTGGGGTCCTCACCGTACCCTCCAGGGGTGATGTTCTTTGACACAACCCTTCCGACTCGTTCATACCCAGATTTGCTGGCGTGGGTGCCGTCTACAGGGCCGGCTCAAGGTCTCCTCCAGGAGCTGTCACTGGAGGAGAAGTTTCTATTAGACCACTGTAAGTTGTATCCGTCTCATTTACAGCCCACCGCCACTGAGCCCTGCACTGGGGACTGATCACATCCATCGAGTCAGTTGTCACAGTCCAGGTTTCCCAATGGCGAAGCAAATACGAAGCTGTTCATCCACCCTTCGATCTCATTGCCTTCCGCCACAACTTCGTCACAAAGTTGGTGATGCTCTGCATTACGGACTTTGGGCTCATACAGGCTATCCTGTTGCTTTCAAGCCAGGTCTTTGCAAACATGCACTATAGCTCCGGCAACGAGGGACAGGGCAAGAGATTCGAGCAGAACTCGTTCCAATATCGAGGCCGGTTGCTCCGGAATATGGCCGAGAACATGCCACATGATCCTAGATATATCACCGATTCGATCATCGCAAAGGGCCTGTTCCTTACCTTCAATGAGGTTTGTGCTCAAATATCCCGACGCAGACACACAACGAATAGACAGCCGCTAACCTTTGATGGGATCAAAAGTATCTGGCAGGCAACATTACAGACGCGGTGCGACACATCGAAGCATGCAACCAAATGGTCGAGATGAAAGGAGGCATTGAGACTCTAGGTCTCGATGGCTTCTTGGCTCAACTTTACACATGGTGCAGTGAGGAGATAGACGCTGCGAGGGAGGACATTTGTTTCACAACAGCTTGATCATGAGAAGTTGTCACTGACGTGGACTGCACCACTGATACTTCAAGGGGGGTCTGGACATCTTGCATAGCATAGCGTGGCATGCCCAGGTGGGCCGAATTACTGCATCGACGGAGTTGGCTTTCCAAAGTTCACCAACTCAGGGTCTGGGGGTAGGTAAAGACTGTGTGGTGTTATAGAAGTCATTTTGCTATTGACGGAATAGAAAGGCCTAAAGGCACATGCATGGCGACGTTGAATTCCATGACCACAATCGGTTAGAAAACGCACACAACGGAACAGACATATCACCAGTGCCACACGTTAACGTAGTACTCGTAGTCCGCACTCGTCACTAAATTGCTCCGCCAATGCTGAAATTGTAAAAAGCTCTAAGCATTGATGCGCACAATGAACAAATTGCTCTGTTTGACTTTCTACAGTCAAAGTTATGACTCTGATATGATGCACGCTTTTGATGTCATATCCTCTAGTCTGGGAAACGCTTATTGCTCAAGCGACAGACACACTGCTCTCTATGATACGAAAAAGCTCCTCACCGAAAGCTCAATCGCTGAGCACACTTGATCTGGCCCTGCTTGTTAGCCATCGAGAAAAATTGGCTCCACGGCCCGTGCCAAATATGCTTAGTTCCCGAGGCCCAACAATACCAAATTGGCCACATTGAGCACGGTAATGACGATCCAGAGCAAGACGGCAAAGATCTTGGTATACCACGAATTGACCATCTCAACACTGTCCGCCGCACTCGATTCCGCGGCGGCACCATCAACAAGCCCCTGGTTTTGTTCATCCCGACCACCCATATTCAGGCGGACCCTATCGCCGCTCACCCTCATGTGCTTCTTAGAACACGTAAAGTAAATCAGCGGCGCGGTGACGAACGGGAGGACAACGCTCAGGACCACCTGGGACCCGTTCAGCGCGTCGTTGAGCCCGGACCGCCCCACGGCGCCGGCGATGACGACGCTGGGGATGATGCTGATGCTGCGGGTGACGAGGCGCCGCAGCCAGGGCCTCAGCTTCCAGTGCAGGGCGCCCTCGCAGACCATCTGGCCGGTGATGGTGCAGACCACGCCGGCGGACACGCCGGACAGGAGCAGCGCGAGGGCAAAGACCGTCCCTGCCCCGGGGGAGATGGAGGTGGAGAGGAGGCGGTGGATGCTGAAGATGTCTGCCTCGGGGGCGTCGGGGTTGTTGTACAGCGAGATGCCGGCGACGATCAGGATGGCGGAGTTGACGAAGAGGGCAAAGGTGAAGAGGGCGAGGGCGAGTTCCAGCGCGGAGATTCTGTAGGAGTATTTGATGGCGTCCAAGGACGGCGTATACTGATCTTTTTGATTGTCACTGTCGTCGGCTGTGCTGTTATCCTCGGGGGGCAGCAGGCCGTGCTTCGCATCGTAGTCCCGGAGCCGGGGCTGGACTATGCCTGAGCCGAGATACAGGCTGTGGGGCATGACCGTCGCTCCGAGGATGCCACATGCTTGATAGAGACTGCTCGCAATCAGCAAAAGCACATAACACTTCCAGGCCATGGGGAAAACTCACCCTTGTTGTTCGACAATGGCGCGAGATGGTAGGTAGCCTTTGAAGACGGCCCCAACACTGGTGCCGTGCACAAGGGACAGCTGGATGCAAAAGCAGACGACGACGCCCAGTACAAGGGCTACAATGGAGAATTCGAATATCCTGAGGGCTTTCATGGATTTGCCGGGCTGATAAAATAGAAGAATGAGCATCACATCGCAGATGGAAATAGCGCATCCAGCGACGAGAGGGACGGCAGGGATCAGAAGGTTCAGGCCTATGGCGAATCCAATCACCTGTGAGTCGGTTAGAACATGCCCGGCCCTAGAGGATGAGTGAAGTTCGATTGACGCATTGGACTTGCCTCGGCGATATCAGTGGCAATGATTGCGACTTCGGCGAAGAAATAGAGGATGTAGTTGATCCAGCGCGGTAGAAATGCCCGGCAGGCCTCGGCCAGGTTGAGCCCGGAGACCGTGCCCAGTTTGATGCAAAGGATCTGGAGAAAGATGGCGAATATATTGGCCAAAAGGACGATGAAGAGGAGTCTGAACTGGTAAGTAGCTCCGGCAGCTACGCCGGTAGAATAGTTTCCAGGATCAACTGTGGAGTATGATCGTCAGCCTCGCTGCTCACTGCCTGTGAGATCTAATGACTGGCCATACTGTACGCGACTGCAACCATGAAGCCCGGGCCGACGAACGAGAAAAACTTCAGGAGGCCTTTCTTGATAGTCTGCCTCCAGGACCTGGCGTCGCTGCCTTGGCCAGGGGGATTGGTGGGCGAGGCAGCTGCAGATGCAGGAGATGAGCCGATTGGGAAGCGGTTTGAGCTGAGATGCCCGAACCATCTTCCCAGGGGCTGGCTGATGGAAATGAATCCACCAGCCAGCCCCTTTCCGCCGGTGTTCTCCCTCGCCTCGTCGGGAGCTGGTTCCGCATTATTTTCTCGACTTTGGGAGTCGTCGCCGGGCTCACCACCGTGGCCGCCCTCCCTCTGTTCTCTGAGGTTGACGATGCCGTTGAGATCCCGGTTGGTGGTCAATGCAGGAGACAATGGATTCGGGCTCTGATTGTAACCGGTAAGTTCCCCTTCATAGGGCTCATCAGTTCGAGCAGTGCGGTTCATCTTGGCGGCGGCTTGTCGGTCGGGTTTCTGGGCTGTTGCTCTGCTATGCTATGCTATGCTTGGCTGTGTGGATGCATGCGTCATTGGCCAGACAAGGGGGTGGGTTCGAACAAAGAAAATCATCAGTCCCACCTGGTTTATGTAAACAACCTGCCCCCTGCCCCCCCCCCCCTGGACCAGGTAACCTTGCGGGTGAAATCGGACCGGCGGGTGACTTAAACCAGTACTGTTTCGACATACCCCAGTGCTGTACCCCACACATACAGTCTCCACAGCCCGGGCCGCGGCTCAAGGTTCGCAGGCCGGACGGGAAACGGCGCAAGCGTTCGTCGAAATTCGGCGCATGTTCGGCAAACGGGCCACTCTTCAACGCGTTTCCAACTGGTTTGGTGCATCGTTCGCCCTATACGAGCAACACGAGCACGTATTCATGACGATAACGTCGTGTCGTCTTGTCTTCTGCAACTGCGCGTGGTACGTGTCGCCAATGAGCGGGGCTTCGTGATATCTCGCCAGGCCACGCCAGCATGGAACATTTGACGGCGTTAGCTTCCACTCAAGTACGTCCAGGGACGTCTTGGTTTCCGGCCAAGCGCAGAACGTGAGCTTCAGTGGAAGTAGCTTCATGTTGTACTGCAAAGTACCACATCCGTTATCTTTGGAGCCAAAATAGCCTCGCTCGAGTGACTCATTACTGTGTAATACGATGGGCAAGAACCTGTCATAAGCAAACAACGTTTCCATGGCCCGTCTGTTCTAGCTTCAGAAGAATGAGGCGAGCCACTACTAAAGAGCTTCTGCATCAGCGCCGTTTTGCGTGACTAATTGGATATTTGATGCCAACCTGCATGTGGTATAATATACTACATAGGAGTAGTGCTCATCGTCGAGCGCTGCAAGATCACAGTGCAATCGGCCCTTCAGTGTTAGCACATATTTTGTACCGCCTTCCATTCACACGTGGCGGGAGCCTGCGACAGCGACGAGGTCAAGAATGGCTGGCCTATGTCTCGTCCAGTCATTCCCCCTCCCCCGCGATCAACCTGACCTCACCGACCTGGCTGCAATGTAGATGCAGACGCTGCGGAACACGGTCAAGTGGTACTAGCAACCCAAATCCTTTACGTAGCTGCAGCAGTCCCGGCTGAATTTGGCGCGCCTGATGCTCCCTGGGGAGATAAATGGCCGAGAGTCGCAGCCTGCGTCTTGAGAAAGTTGACGGACAAAGAATTTTTGGCAACGTCCACCAAGTGGAAGCAGCTTCTGGCCGAAATCTTGGAAAAGGTGAAGGATCGACCATACCTACATTAATTACCGAGGGAGGTCCCACGGCCACTTAATAGCCAGGTAGATATGTAACTATATGCTAGCCGCGAAAATTAAGATCGGATATTCACGCCCACTATAACAGAGGGTATACCTAAGCCCTAAGGAATAACCTCTCATAGAACAACCTCCTATAGAATAACTTCCTATAAGATAATCTCCTATAAGATAACCTCTTATAAGAAAACTATTTATAAAATAAACTTATAAAATATTTACTTATAATTTAATATTAAAGTAAGTATTTTAATATTTAAATTCTTTAATATAAAGGTACTCTTTAGTTAAATAAATATAAATATCTAACTTTTAAAAATTCGTTAAAAAGAATATATTATTTTTAATTTAAGTTATAATAAAGAGAACAGAGATTCATAGGGTAAAAAACGGAGGGTATAGGGTAAGAAGTACTAATAGTTAATGAGAGGGCTTTATTTAACCTTACCTTAATACTTATACCACTCTAACTAAATACTTTTTACATTTTAACCTATAGACCTATTAATTTATAAGAACTTAAGAGGAGATTTAAGTACTTAAAGACTTATTAAAGCACTTTAAGTAATAATAAGGAAAGTAGTAATAAACTATTAAAGTAGAAAAAATAATAAAGGTAAGTAAAAGTAATAAGAGTGGTATTTATATAGGGTGATAGATATATAGTTAATAACTATATATTATTGTTTTATATAGTGAATTAGTGGTGTAAATTAAGGTTAGTGTATTAGGAGTATACATTACCCTATACCCTCCTTTTTTTACCCTATGAATCTCCGTTCTCGTGATAAAAGGGCTTTTCCTTTCTTTTTATATTTTATCCTAACAATCACCTCACCCACATACCTAGGTAACATGACGCCGAGGCCATATACATGCAAGAACAGGAAAATATCAAAACAAATGGTGAAGTATTGTGTCATCCACAACGATAGTAGTATATCTATTTATAGAAGAACGGAAATTTCTTTTTACTGCTGATGCTTCCCTTCAACGAGCTCGAAGAAGGCCTTTTTTGAATATCAGCAAGATTGTGTCCAAGAGTTGAGCCTGGGAGACTTGGGGCTTGATGGCCAGTCGCCGTCGCCCCATCCTCTTCATCCACGCCCTCCTCTATACTTCCGCGAATTAATTCGTCGGTTGGTTCATGATACCACGGTTTGGAATCAATGATATCTCTAAGATTCAGTCAGCGTCGTCGGAAGAGAATTTGTGTCGTGCCTATCGATAGGCTTGCAACCTTACTCAATATGGAAGCGTTCCTTCATGTTGTCGTCAAGACTTTTCAACCGGGATATGGCAGCGGTGTCTTCCTCGCCAAACCAAACAAACTGTATGCTGAACCATCTTTGTTCCATTGAACCTCTTTGTTGTTCGAGTTTCCCGACGAAGTCAACAATTAGTTGTTCCACATCGTTATCTGTCCGTGAGCCTTCCCATGCTCCATCTGTGAGAATGATCAAAGTCATCCTCTTGCCAGGATTCTCCAAGTATTCGGAGAAGATGGTTCCGAGTGTCTGTCGCATACTGGTTCTATCGGTATGATTGATGCTGTTGCCGACATCTCCCATAGACTTTTTGAACCTCCCGTGAATATCCGTTCCCTTGACGTTTTTTAGCTTTCCGTGCTCGCCAATGGTGTAAACAAGATCTATGCCGTCCTTGTCCAGTCGACCTATCTTCATTGCAAGTACCAGAAGCACTATCTCAACTTGCCCCCACTTGTCACTCATTGTTCTGGCATTGTCAACAACAAACTTCTGTCCAAATTGTTAGCTCGGAGTTTGTAGCCATAGATAGCGGTGAGGTCTTACTATATCTCGGTTGTGGATATGCTTTTCCAATTGTCGGTCCTTGACCGGACTGCTCAGTCCAACCCTAACAGAAAACTTTCTGTACTGTTTCTCAAGCTCATCATACTCACGATATATGCTTGGAGTAGCAGGCATGCCAGTCTGCGGCTTGTGTCGCTTCTCCACGAGCAGCTGCGGCGGTTTGGTATCCGTTTGCTGATTTTCTGTTGCTGGCGGGAAAATTGGTGTTGCTTCTGTGACTGTGTTCGTGATGCGGATAGAAGGAGTCGTAGGTTGTTTCCCTTTTCTTTGTCCAGCAGGTTTGTTGATCTGACCTGGCACCGAAGCCTGGTGGCTTGCTTCCTGTTCATCCCCTACAATTATCGATTCTTCGATTCGGAGCTCAGACATGAGTGCCTGCTCACGGAATGCTACTTTGGCGCGTACGTTCTTGTCCAGTCTCTCAGACTTTCTCACTCGGTCGTTTCGATTGGTCACGGACAGGGACCCTCCCTGCCCTGTGGCAGGGCCCTGTTTTGTGAGAGGCGTCGATCTGGCTTCGCCGGCCGTGGTAGGACTGGCTGGGGATTCCTTGTCGAGACTGAGAAGGACCTTCAACATTTGTGGTGATAGACGCTTGAGGGCATGGTGGGGGTCCGCCGACTCTAGAGCCGCCTGGTGGTCGGCCTCGGCGGATGAAAGAACGTCACGCAGCTTTTGGTGCATCTCCTTCACTTTGAATCTCTTTTTGACGTCGCCAACCAGCATTCCCTCCTCTATCAAATCGATGATTCTTCCTGAAATGCTGTCTGACTTTCGAATGGAATTCCGGAGGAGATCGTGCCACTGACTGACCGCAGGGAGGACATTCACACCGTCATGAAAAGCGTCATCGGCGTCCGGTGCATGGATGCTTTGGTCGGTTTTCCTTTTCTCTTTCAGTTCTTTGATGGCTGCTGTTCGAATCTCCGGATAGTGGTCATACGCCTGCTGTCCCAAAATGACCCAGGTGGCGACAGATGACAACACACAGCCGAAAGACCAAGTATCAATCTTCTGAGTGTATCCATCACCCTGGCCGGTCGTACGGATCTCTGGGGCACCTGATCCAAGTGTTAGTCGCCGTAGGTTCACAAATGGATGCAGAAATAATAGATCACAAACCAAATGATTTTGTCAAGCCGTCGAGATGAGTTTTCGGGTCAGGATCGCGATCACTGCGAACCTTGAATTGGGTAAAGCCGAAATCAGCAAGTTTGAATTCGCCGTTCACTCGGAGTATGTTATCAGGCTTGATGTCGCCATGCCATCTATCATATGTCAGTATTGTTGGCTTCCAGAAAAATAGTCATGTGCACCCACCCGGAAAGTGTTCTTTCATCGTATTGCGACTCATGGAGTCGCTCCAACGTGTCAGCCACTTTGAAGAGGCTGTTCCAGAACCCTTTGATTTCCGTGTATAAAATAGGTGGGAAATTATCCGCCAAGAACTCGTCCAGATCGTGTTCACCAAATTCGAGGATAATGTGATGAGCAAGTGATGGGGAACCTCTGAACGTGCGGCGCCTGTTATATTCGCCGAGAAATTTGATCACACCGGGAATTTCGCTAAGAGCCTCGAATGCGTCGACTTCAAGCCGATAGGCATCGGTTTCCGTGGGGTTATAAGACTTGACAGCGATGCTGTAACACTACCGATCATGGAATCAGTAAAGAGCACACGGGAGCCCTGGAGTTGACAAACGAGAGCTTATCTCACCTCTCCGAAGCCGTCAACCCTTTTTCGAGAGCCTTCAAGTTCGACGCGAAGTTTTTCCGCAACGAGATCTTCCTGGACCATATATTGTTCGACATTCGCAGTTCCTCCTTTCTTGTTGATAGGGACCCTCTTACAGAACGGCAAGATAGCACCATCAATCAAGTGTACGTCTTTGAAGATGCCGATTATCATTGGGCAATATTCTGGGCGGACCTTCTTGAAGTCTTCAAGCAGTGTTTTGACCGGGACCTTCATCTCCTTCTCTTCCATCAAAATGTCGCGAAGTCTGTCAAAATGCTCGTCGAACATCAACCGGGAGTCGTCGGCTATATGTTTCTTGAAGCAATGAATCAGGTGACCGTGTTTTATCCTGTCATCAAGAAGTATTGCGAACAATATTGGAAGGTTCGTTAGCTCGTCCTCCCTCGCACGACGGAACAAATTTCCTTCAGTTTGGACTTCGTCCAGTAGTTTTGCGAGATTTGACCTGGACTGCCCTCCGGTAGTTGCAGATCGGAGTCCCATCCATCTCTTGATATCTTCTGGGTTATAGAATGTTCGTCCTTCCCAATTCCTCCGAACAATTCCTCTGAGGTGGTCTCGGAATGCCTGCAGTGTCGGCTGCGGGGTGGAGGCGGATTCTGGAGCCGACACAGCCTTCTCATAATCCGAAGACATGGTGTCCTCGGTTGCCGGCAGAAAGGGGTTTATAGACAAGAGTTGGACGGAGTTACCGACCGACGTTACTTTCTAGAGAGCGCTTGTGAGATTTCGTAGGCTTGCCACCCTGCCATTGGGATGAAAGCGTTGACGCGGGTATGCTCCTTGGTCGTTGAAAAGACAAGAAATGCCACGCGGGTGCAAAATTATTGAATTAATTGCGATATTCCGCGGCGCATGGCGCCAAATATTGGGTCCCCCGCTCTGCTGCAAGACACAAGCAGCTGGAGGCCGTGGTTGGTTCCTTTGCAGCGGCTGAGCGCGGGCTGGGAGCAGGTCAGCGCCTATTGCAGCGCACAAGGACGGGAGACACCAGTATTATGGATGTAGCAAACTGGTGGTCTAGACCTAGGCGAGACATGCAGGCCACCGGAACTGGAAATCTTCAGATATGGATCAGTCCACAGCCGCTACCAATGCCCCAGGTTGGCTTCTGACGATATACCTGAGTCTGGGACACCACTGTCGCAGGAGTTTATTACTATAAAGCCATGTGAACTGCCAATTAATTCTGTCACTATCCATCAGTGCCTAGTAAGAACTTAAGCTGGCGTCCGCGAAAAGGGCGGTGAAGCTGAGGCGAAATGTCAAGGACCTGTGGGAGGGTGTGTGTGACGTGAAAGGGGCGGTAGAGGAACTGCTCCATTGCAAATCGTTGAAGGAGGGATCAATCAGGCTGTGCGATTCACAGATAATCAGGGTAAGCGCCGATGGGTCGCAGCACAAGTAGAGAAAGTATCCAGGTATGAAGGCATGTGTAAGCAGCAGATGGTGTGACAACCTTCACTAGTAGGGCAGGCGTCAGGGATGGGGCGCGGCCTACGAGTTGACAGCGCTCACAGGCAGAAGTCTGCCTCGATTCCCATCAGAGCTTCCAGAGCCTCACACAGGCCTCGGTCACTTGGGCGGCTGACCAGCACAGCTGAGAAATTTAAGAGGCTGACATCGCCTCCTCGGAGAGCCTGGCCTGGGACTCGGAATGCCTTGCGACACCAACCGTGTTTCCTGGACTTCCACGGGCGCTCCTAAGTCACCCTGACCCCACTACCTATTTCGCCCCATCAATGTAATAAGCTCCCTGAACAAGTACCTAGGTAGATATGCAGGATCCACCAAAGCGCAGGAGTACAGACCAGTCGATCAAGTCACTACGGTCGCAACGGAGGAGGAACACGGCCCCTCCACAATCAGGAACGGAAGAGCGGTGCCAGGACATATACTCGAGTTATCGCCTAAACTGGGCAACCCTGCGAGGGTACCTGCAGCGCAAGTGGCCGGACTTCAACTTCCCAGAAGACGGGCTGCAGGTCAGTTGGTGGCGGGAATATACATTCAGAAGCTGTTCTCGAAACTGACTGAAAGGTCCTCGAAGGAAAACGATCACTGGATCTTCTATGTTCCGCAAAAGCTTGATGAGGTAATTCACCAATATAACGCATTTCAAACACAACTGGACTAATCTAAATTTTCACTCTAGGTTGATAGGCATGAGATCGCCATATTGAGGGATGACGAGCTTGCAAAATCTTCTGCGCCTCCCAGATCCCCATCTCCAGAGTAAAATGCAAAGGGAATAGCGAGGAGAGGGTGCAGGAGGGGAAGGGGGAAGAGGGGGAGGGGGAGAGTCTGAGAGTGATTGGATAGTATGACCAGTGGGAACCACTAGGTACATATCCAGTTGGGCTGTGCTGCAGCTGGCCGCAACCAGGGCAATGTACGAGGTGTGTGGGTGTTGATCGCACTGAGACACGGCCAATTAGTGGTCCGCTGACGCACATGTTCCGATGGATTTGGTGTCACCACATGCACAGCCCTTAGTAAGGCCCGGTGACCTGGACGGCATTTTGGGGAGGCTCTGCCATGTAATGGGTGTCGGCGCAAAGTCGAGCCATTTGTCAAGATTCATGTGAGACGATAGCATGTAAAGAAGCTATGGTGTCCAGTCTCCAATTGATACATTTATGTGCGCCCTGGGCATGTTCTCAACAAGGCTGTGGGTTCCTGTGTTGTGTGACCACCCATGTCCCTGCGGTCATCTCAGGTTTCAGCGTCCAAAGGGGTCTCTGACGGCGCGTGGCAGGGGCTATGCTGTAGGACGGGCTGAATGACCCGAGGCAGACCAGACCACGGGTGGCGTCGCACACAAGGCACTGTATAAAGGCATTGGCCGTCGCTCACATCTGATCACAGTAAACAGCTCCTCGATAACTCAAAAGATTACTACTTGTATATTGTCATCATACTCGAAAATGCCTTCCCTGTCGCGTTTACCCGATGCATTTCAAGCGTCGTATTTGGAACGGGAGTCGTACCCTCGAAATTTGGCCATCAATGGTGCAGCGAGAGATTATGTTAAGATCCTTGAAAATGCTTCCGAAAAGTTGTTCCAAGACACCACGCTCGACGTCAGATTCAGGGACTTGCTGAAGAATGATGGGAATAGTGAAGGTGAGTATGCGAAACTCGCTGGGATTGGATGGTTGTTTATGCCTTCTAAGTATAAATTGACCGACGAAAATGGTATAGATCTTGACAAAAAATACATCCAAACTGAGGCTGCTTTATCCCAACACTTGGGGGTACGCGTTATTCCTGACCCCACCGACATTCACAAGAAAACAGTTGTAGGCAGTCTGAAGGATCCGAAATGTCGCTTTGTGTAAGTTCATAAAATTAGGACTTGTCTAAACAAAAAAGCCGCCTTTGCTGACAAGGTTTGCTTAACGCTTGGTTTTGCAGCTACATCTATGGCGAGCACTCTAGGGCACGTCTTCGAATCTCACGTTCCATGCTCCTTGAGCTCTTAACATGGCACCAAATCGCGCCTGCATATGTCGACTTCATGCTAGTATTTGGAATGAAGCCAGACTCTAGTGACCTCCTTTTTGGAGGATTCAGGGCCCAGGTACGCATCAAGCCCATGGATGCAACCGGCAGCATTGCGCCCCTTGGGAGGTCCGGGCGGCATTACGAATTGTGCTACAACTTGAAAGGCGTCTCCAAGTCCCAACAAGATGACTCGTACTCGATCAGACAGTCCGCCTTCTACCATCGTTTCGACGTCGTGGGAGGCAACGCGCTGTGGATCGTGACAAAGGGCGGCGACGACCTCCACCACCGCTTCAAAGAACTCACCAGCAAAGATTCTGCTAGACAAATGTTCGCGGACAGTGGGGCTTGTTTCAGGTCGAGCCTTGCCGCACATATGGCATTCTGTTACTGGTCTACGGAGGACTGGCATGGTTACATTAGATATTTGGAGACCATGGTGGGCGAATACGTAAGACTTCAGCGATTTTCCCCGAAAGGCAGATATCATAATCTGATTTCTCTACCAGACTATTATGGCATTATTGGGGCACAGGGGAGAAGGGAACCCTCAAGAGACCTACACGGGGAGAAATATACAACAACTACAGATATGGCGCGAGACAGTTTGCGATGTGATCGCAGTGCTCGACTCCAATGTGGAGGTTATTTCCTCCATGGCTGCCTTTTACCGGAACTTGCAGTCGAAGAAAAACTTTCCTCTCAGGGATATATGCCACGAGGACATAGACGACTTCGTGGAGGAGTTGCATATGATAATCTCTAGTTTCAAGCTCCAAATCAGCCGGGCAGAATCGCTGCGGCAGAGGACTATGGAACGATCAGAGTTGGTGAGTTAGTCTGCTGCGGCAATGCACCTTCTGCCAGTCTCGCAATGCACTGACGACATGTTGTGGCGGCCAGGTAAAACAGCATGTCGCAAACCAGACGTCTGAAAGGCTAGAAAAGATGAACCAACAGATGGAGAGAGAGGCGATTGCTGTCCGAATAATCACAATCGTGACTCTCATATACTTACCAGCAACGTTTGTTTCCGTAGGTGGCCCTTGACTGACAACGCACGGGTGCTTAAAAGACACTGTTGGATGTTTTCTGACCTAAGACATCAATTGCAGACCTTCTTCAGCACCGACATTATCAAGTATCAGGGAGATGATGGTCCTGGAAGCGGGACATTCTCCGCCACTGCCATGATCCGCTGGCTCCAAGTCACCTTACCGCTCACGCTCGTAACCTTGCTGGCTGCTCGTGCTCTGCAAACACGAGCCACGTCACAAGTGATCACCGCATCCGACCCATCAGCAAACAATGCCGAGAACGCGATCACCACATCCGAGTCATCAGCAAACAATGCCGAGAAAGGGATACAGGGAAACTGGTATACGCGGCCTCGGCTTGGAGTATGGGACATACCTCTCCGGTCTTGGTTTACGGGGTTCCGCGCAAGGCGAAAACATTCTTCTGCCGCACACATTGTGTGATGTGTAGGTAAAAACAAATTGATCGGAAGCATGGTCACGTTCTGCTCAAGTGACTTGACAGCTATTCCAGATCTACGAATAGCTGGAAAACCTTTGTTTGCATCATGTTGTCTCTCGTAGCACGACTGTAATAATTTCCCAGTCCCCGAGGGTACGAGGAATTTCAACATGTGCCCAGATTCTTCCTAGATTGGAGAGCTCCAATGAGAAGCAGATGCAATTAAGAAATACATGAGAGGATGAATCCGGATAACTGCACGCAAACCATATTCCCATCTCTAGTCTCTCACGCCCAAACAGCTAAGACCGCCATGACAGTGGCACCGATCGCTATGCAGGCAAACGCAGCAAGCTGCACCTTCAGAGGCGCTACCCTCATCTCCGAATTGAAGAGAAATTCATGCCCCAATAGTTCCACCATACCTGAATATAGGAGTATTCCAGCGCTGATAGAGTCGAAAATGCCAGTAGTTAGGATCTGAGCTTCGGCGTTGGCAGGCTTGGTATATATACCCACTGCGGTCGCGATTGGTGATGACAAGCCGAATATAGTAGCAAGCAGATAGGGCCACCACGGGCTGGACGCAGGCCAGTGCGCAACAGCTAGACGGGACCCGAGACCAAGGCCTTCGAAGAGCTGATGGAAGGTGAAGACGACGATCAGAACAACAAGATTGCTGGTTGTTGATAAGACTAGTCCGATGAAAATGCTGTGAAAAACGACACCAAATTCAAGTATGAAGATGGCTGTCAACTGGCCCGAGAGTGCTGATATTGAGTCTCCTGCTTGCGGTTGCTGATCGTCATTCCCAATACTGGATGCTCCAGGGAAACAAACCGAGCCATTTTGAGCCACGTACGACTGCCTGGAGCAACAGCTATCACATTTCCGGACACAAGCATCTGCATCCGCCTCCACCGTACCCGCTGATTGCAAAGCTGGCGTGACCTGCTTTGTGCTGAGAGGAAACCCTTGGGATACGTAGTTTGTAGCCACCAGTTCAAGCAAGAACATAATCATCACGGTCATGAGGCCGATAGCAAAAGCCCAGTCGTAGTCGCCCAGCCGTGCAGCCAAGCATTCATGGTGTAGGGCCTCAACGGCTGGTGATAACAGGTGCATCCATGCCGTGGCAATGATAACCCCTGTGCCGGTATGCTTGCATATAAAGAAGATTGACCTGGGCATGCGGAACAGGGTCGTCCTGGACGAAAAGATGGGTAAGAGGGCCCCAAGTAGGGATGCCGCCAGGACTATGAAGATCGAAGCGATGCGCAGACGTCTGTTGCCATGGTCAACGGCCTCGCCACACACTGCCATTGGAGAGAGGTTTCCCCGAACTTGTATCTTTTGGTGAAGGACGATAGGTGTTGATGCTATACTATCCATAATGTGAAAGACTAGGGTGGATGGCCGAGGCAAAGGCTTGGTCTATCACTTACCACCAGAGACAAAGAGGGGGGCCTCAGTCCGCATAGGAGGAAAATCAACCTGAGAGGGACTGACTGACCTTTTCGGCAAATCTCGTCCATCAGGGTTCTCTCTCTGCGCATCCATATTGCCTGTCGATCACCCTCAAAGCATGCACGAGGTCGAACTTGGCGACTTGGCATGCATGTAATATGCCCAGGTGTGTATTTAGCGCGCAGCAAAGCACCCGCCAGGCTCGTTCGTGTAACGAGACATAAACCCTTGGTTTTCTTGAAGAAGGCATGCCTCCATACTTAGTAGACACCAGAGTGGAACAGTTTCAGAAATAACAAAGTAATTGATGTTTACATATGTAATCATGTTGGCAGGGCAATGTCGATCACTTTGCTTTTTTAAGATAATTCTGTCAAACAGACTGCCAGGACTGCCAGACTGTCCGAACGGCGTTTGCGCTAGGGCACTCAGCAACTGGAATGTTTTTTTAGTTGGCAGTAAGCCTAGCCTAATCGACGTCGTTGACGCCGTTGGCGACGATCCCATCAGTAAGAATGCAGCAGTGGGGCAAAAGTCTATAGCAATCCCGATAGGAGCTGTTACTACATGACAAGAAGCGCCGTTGCAGACTCAAGATATTGTATTTGAAATATCAGGGGCTGTCCTGATGAGCTACAACAAAAAGGAGACAAAACAGAAGCTAGTTGAGCATGACAAGCGTAGTGAGAAGCGCGCTCGGTTCAAGAGCTCAGCGTTTTCCGAGATCTTTGCGACCGTGTTCAACAGTAGCCACAAAACTCACGGTATGAAGGCGCCACATAAATTTTACATGTATGGGCATTAAAAAACGAAACCACTAGCCACCAAATTCAGTCATGCCGCGCCGATGTTGATCATACGCGAACAGGCGCTGGTGACGGGCCACAGATGCCTCTTCACTGCCAAAAGTACCTAGGTACCTAGGTAGTTGGACCAACACGTCATACGCTCACACTGGTTTTCCACAACCTATTGGATAGATTGATGCTTGGTTTCCATTGCGTTTTAGCTTGGCACTGTTAAGACTCTTACAAAAAAAGAAGAAAAGGGCGGTGGCTTATAATAAGGGGCGACTTGCAGCTGCTGCCTGAAGCTTACTAAACACGACACGACGTTTTACCTCGCAAAATATAAAGCCAACCACCAATGCATTTCAGATTAGCTTTTTCCAGGCCAAAGACACTGAAAGAACGCCTCCCACTGCACTTTTGTACTCAATACATAGTAGAGCAATAACATTGACAACCATGTCTAACCCTGAAAGCTCTCAACGGTCAGAACCATATGTCCCCCGGTTTTGGACGCCTCCAGATGACCCAGATAAACCTCCATTCCCATACATCACTGGCTTCACCACACAAATCCACCGCCATATACCACCACCGCCATTTGGTCCGAATTACTATGACGCCCAGCCCAGACCGCAGTTATCATTGCAGTATATGAAAAAAGCACGACAGAGCGAGTTAGTCGTCGACAATCCTCCTCTAGAAACGGCGCCAACCCAAGCAGAGACGGCACGGCTTACCATCAACACGCATCTTTCAGTGGGATACGCGAATGGAGCCCAGGTCGTCATATGCTCCGTCACTCCCGACAAAGAAAGTGACGCCGAGCCTTTCAGGGCTGTTGCTAAGATATATGACCCTCTATACTATAGTTTCAAGAAGTGGATCGGTTTTAATCCCTGCGACATTGTCACCGAGGCGGATATGGACTATAGCCGTGAAGCTGCTGCGTACGAATTCCTACAGAAGACGGGACAGACCGGCTCCTTTGCCCCGTTATACTATGGCTCATGGAGCTTTGAAATTGCCATCACCAGCAGGGGAAAGACTCGGACGCGGCCCGTCCGCCTTGTCTTGATTGAACACCTGTGCGGGACCAGCATCCGCGGCAGCCACATCCACAACGACCCTGAGTGCGATGAAAAAGACGCCTATCACTGCCCAGAGGACTACAGGCTCGAGGTACTGGCGCTTGCTATGGAAGGTTACGTTAGGCAGCTTCATTGTGGGATTGACCAGCTGGACTTTGCCGACCGGAACGTTATGCTGGTGCCGAGGGAGCCCGGTGACCATGTCCCTACCGTCCCGGGCCTGGCTTTGCCGCGGGTTGTCCTTATAGACTACAACGGGGCCATTGTGTTCACCCAGAGCAATATGGGAAGACCGCCTCAAATGGATTGGCCGCGCCCGTGCAACCCGATGTACTACTTTTGGGATGAGTCCATGGACGACTTTGCGGGTTGGGTCCCCCCGGATTGGCATCGAAATCCGAAGTTCATGCAGCAGTGGCTGGAGAAGCGATTTGGCACAGAGGAAACGCGGAAGCTATATAACCCTGTCAAAGAGGAGCTAGTATACAGAGACTACGACCTGCCAGAGTACCAGTAAGGACAGCGGGTGGGTTCTTGAGATGATGGTACAAGTAGCTTAATCGTCTGAGAACCGTCACCGTTTTCATTCTCATGTCCTGTCTTTCTCCACTGAGACCTCCAAGCTAAAAGCCTTGGCAATACCTACTTAAGTAGGTATGCAGCATTATGGGCTCCAACTCACCTGTCTATAGAGAATTGACCTCAAATCCCGTATTTCTTAGTCTACAATAAAAAAACGCGACCTCGGCCGAGCTTCGTCCGGTCTATCTGTGGATACCCTTGCCATGCTTGTAGCTCAATCCTACTCCACCACGCTCTACTTGACCGGGATAGATGCTGTTTGATGTAGCCGCATACCCAGGATATCGTGAACGCTTTGGAGACAATGGAGAACATGTAACACTGGACCGTGCACGATGATGACAAATTTGACTCGAGTCATGTATTCCTTTGGCTCAGGGTACTAAATTCCGGAGAGCATGTAGCAAGGAGTTTTTTGGGACCAAACATGAGAAATACCCGTCAACCGAGGGGGGAACCAACAACACCAATTACATCCTTTAAGCACATTTAAGTCTTCTGAAACCGTTGTCATGGCTCCAAACATTCTCATGTAGGGCTTTATATACCCCAAGCTGAACAGTGACGGCCATAGGGCTTAGCTAATGCGATATAGTACCGGAGTCACTGGGTATGTCGGCGGAACCGTCTTCAACACCATCGTGACCGCTCACCCGGAGTACAACATCACCGTCCTCCTCCGCAACCCGCAGCCATCATTCTCTGAGAAGTACCCGAACGTGAAGGTTCTCAAGGGCGAATTTGGGGACTTCGAGCTCTTGAAGGATGCCGCATCAAAGGCAGACGTTGTAGTCCGTAAGTCGTACTACACAATCTCATTAGACAGCCGCCCCCCTCCCCCCAGAACCCCGAACAGCATAAGAGACCAGAGGGAAACCAGCTAACCAAACCACTCCCACGTCGAAGACCACGGCGACTCTGATAACGTGGCCGCGGTGCGCGCCCTCCTGGCAGGCGCGAGCGAGCGCGCGGCCGCCTCGCTGCCCGCCTTCTACATCCACCTCGGCGGCACGGGCATCATCGTGCAGTACGAGAACCTCGGCGAGCTGCACCCCAAGGTGTGGTCCGATATCGGCGACATCGAGACTCTCTGGTCCATGCCGGAGGCGACGCTCCACCGCAACACCGAGCTGCTCATCCAGGATGCTTGGACCGCACGCGGTGTCAAGACGGCGGTCGTGTGCCCGCCTATGATCCACGGACGGGGCACGGGGCCTGGGCGTACCGACAGTATGGTCTTCCCGGCGCTCGTGTCTGCAAGCGTTCAGACCGGGTCCACTTTCTACTATGGGAGCGGAACCAACATCTATTCCAAGGTGCATATCGAGGACGTGGCCCAGGTGTTCTCGAAGCTCGTCGAAGCTGCTGCCAACGGGGGCGAGGGGGCTGACTGGGGACATGACGTATGTATATTCCCGGTCATGGAGTTCTTTCTCCCTCTCAACCACTAACAACACATACCTAGGGCTACTATTTCTTGACAAGCGAGGAAGTCAACCAGAAGGATATTGCCGTCGCCGCAGGCAAGATCCTCAAGCAAAAGGGCCTGGTGCCCACCGAGGAGCCAAAGCAGCTCACACTCGAAGAGCTCGACTCGCTGCTGCCGCAGAGCCGCTTCCCGGGCGTCGCGCGACTCGCCTTCGCGTCAAACTCCCGGTCCACCCCGGACCGCACGAAGAAGGTTTTGTCATACGTGCCGCGGGGGCTGTCATACATGGACAGTCTGGAGGACGACATTAGCCGGGCGGCGCGCCGGTGATCCAGGTGCATCCCTAGGAGAACACTTCAAGCTACTTCCTTGATGAGCTTCAAGAGTTCTTTGTGTGTGTGTGTGTATGGGGGAGAGGTGGAGATGTGCAACACATAGGCGTAGAGGCGTCGCATCACCACGGCACGGAACGGGCAGGCATTGAAACTCTCCCGTTAGGCAGATCGTCTACACAACCACCGGGTTGCCTCTGTCGATAGACATCCGTAGTCTGGGTGCTTGGCATCTGGAGCAAGATCTGGATTTTATAAGGTTATTCTATATCTTATAAGATATTTTCTTATAAAAGCTTGGCTTATAAAAGATCATTTTAAGAATGAGGACAGCGCAAAACAAAGCAAAGGATTCAGCTAGGCACATCAGGGCTTAGCAAGGTGAAAGCATCGTCGCTACTGAATTGCGAAGTGCCCGGGAGACATCGTGGATGCTCTGGCATCGGTTGCGACGCCCACTGCATGGCGGGGGTCATGCATTAGTGGTGACATGTGACATTCAAGGCGACAGGAACATGTTGCCTGGAGATGACGGGGAGACACCAGATGCATGTTATGAGGCTCAACCAGGCTCAGCACTCATGCATGGTCTCTCCAACAGCAAACGTAAAGTGTTGAAGAGGTGGTGTTGATGCTCCGCCATTGGCTCTGGGTGTATCTGTCGTGGGACATAGGCGCACGAGTGCCAATGCGCGAGATTCAAACGGCATTTTCGGGGGGGGGGGCTTCTCTCCCCCACGAGACACACGAGTTATCAATCCACACTCCTTTGCTGGCGGGCGACGCACACCACTATTGCTACACCCAAGGCGCCCTTGGAGCTGGTCACCTTGAAAATTCGCTGTGGTGTCTGAGTTGAAGATCGGGTCTGCACTTCGGCTTACGCGTCTCACAAAAGCGTATTACAAGATCGCGGTTGGCACGCCTCCTCCCCACCGTTGGATTAGGGGTATTGCTCTCAATGTGCTATTTCCCGCGATGGAAGCTTGAATGGCATCCAGCCCACAATACCCTTATCAGGGCTCAGCACCCGATAACCGACGACGCACTGCGTGAACCGAAAATGGTGAAGCGGTGTCTCTGACGGCATGCCATTGGCTCCCCTTAGTGCTGACCTGTGGGAAGTGCACAAGGCTCCGGGTCTTGCTTGCATCAACGTCGGGGAAACGTGCACACCAGATACCCTACTTGCTGGGGGCTGGGAAGTGTCCCGTTAGGCAGGGCTCAGCAGATACCGTTTCTACCAGAATCCGAACTGGCAGAGAGATGTATTTGATGGTATGTCATTGGCTTGGCATGCCCCCTACGCTCAGTCACGGCACTGGCATTAGGGCTCAGCAGGTGCCTTTTAATCATCCATGGACGGACGGCACATCACCTCTTCCTCACTCGGCACACACTACGAGCACGTGATACATCCGGTGCAGATTCAGTGATATCATCTTTGTCGTGAACTTCGTTCATTGCACATTCATCTTTCACTACATACTTCCTGATCCCCATCCCCAACCCCGCCATGGGGGCAACCTCCAATTCAGTCCAGTTACACCATTTTGATCCTAGAACCCAGCCACCCACGCCGGGCATGATTCCCATCAGCCCAACTGGGCATTGCATCATTCATTTTCACCACCTAGGTACCCGGTTATAACCGACCGACAAACCAACCAACCAACCAACCACACCTTTCTTTTATGTTCCAAAAAATATTCCTCCAGTCCTCCAGCCCCTCCTTCCTCTTGCATTCTTGTATTCCTCCCAAGGCGGATCAGGGTCTAGTCCGCCTTCCTGAGCTGGTAGTACTTCCTCAGCTGGATGTCCTCATCAAACCCGACGTCCTCGTGTCGGACCACGTTCCAGCAGTAGAGCAGTAGGTCGGGGAACCGCGTGGTCCAGTAAAGCAGATAGCCTTCCTCCATGGCGCGGTGCCCGACGATCTTCTCCTGCAGCGCCTCCGGCATGTCGCGGAAGTGGTTCTTCTTGTTGCGCAGCGCGCGCAGCAGGTCAAGCAGGCGAGACCCCGTGTACTTGCGCTGCTTGCCGAGCGAGTTGACAAAATCCTTGTGCAGGCGAGAGAGGAAATCCCCGTTCGGTATGACCTCGTGTGCGCCCTCCTCGAGGGCTTGGAGGGCCAGGCTGGGCGGGTCACGTGGCTCGCGCTCGAAAGCGTCTGATACGTCGCAAAGGAAGGTCAGACGCTTCTCGGCAGACCAGAAGAACGGGTGCACCAGAATATCCTTAGTCTTCGGGCGCTCCTTGGGGTTCGCGCTGATCATCTTTGAGATCAGGTGCGTGGCCTCGCGCTGGTACTCGCCCAGCACCTCGAGCCTATCGAGGCTGTAGGTGCCCTTGCGAATGTTGACCTCCCGCATGAAGGAGCCGCCGCAGTCGAACGGGTGCGAGCCCTGTGTGAGCACGTAGAAGAAGACAATGCCGAGAGAGAAGATGTCAATCGATCGCGTCACGCGTCGCCGGTTCTCACCCTGATGCTGGCTGCTGCTCGCGGTGCCACTATGCGTGGAGCTTGCGTCTACCAGCATCGGGCCAGGCGCGGCGTCGTCGTCGTGTAAGAGCTCCGGGGCCCGCCAGCCAGCTGTACCGGCGTTGTGGGCTGTGGTAGCACCGAGAGATGACTGGCCATTCTCCAGCTTCTTGCAAAGACCAAAGTCGGAAACCAATATGAGAGGCTCGCCATCCATATCAGTAGTGATGAGAATGTTTTGTGGCTTCAGGTCACGATGGACTGTATCTTGTCAGTAAACATGTTATGATAGACCTAACCAAGTCCTCGGTGCCCAAAAACGGGCACATGATGAAGTATAGCACTGACCAATTTGCAGAGAATGGAGATGGTCCAGCCCCTTTGTGATCTGCTTCAGTACCCCGAGCGGGTTCTTGGATCCGAGCTCCGCCAGCGCACGGAAGTGTGATGGCTTCTCCACAACATCCGCCAACGACGCCTCGCATAATTGCAGGGCTATGTAAATGAAGTCACCACGCTCCAGCTGGGCATAATAACGGATGACGTTAGGGTGCAGGTCGACCTCGCGCAGCAGCCGCGTCTCACGCGTTGCAATGTCGTAGAACGATCGCAGCATTCGCTTGACCGCCACTGGCCGGTCTTGCCACTTGCCGGCGAAGACGATGGTTCCGTTGCTGCCCGTGCCCAACTGCTGCTCTTGGATGACCTCGAGGCTGTCATCGATCTTGAGGATTGGGACGGACACGTTCCCTACGTCGTCAGGCACCGTCTGGATATCAGGCTCGGGCCCCCGGGCCGTTTCGCCCAGTTTCTTGGCCATGTTCACTGCTTCCTCCACGTCGTTAAGTGCCTCATCTTCGGCGGACCCATTGCCATTATCGCCCTTCTTGTTCTTGCGGTGTTGCTTTCCCCCACGCCGACCGCGGTGAGCCTTCTTCTTCTTCGGCTCGGGAGGAGCCTGCGCTGCATCCACCGGGATGTCACCCTGACCTTGGATGGGCGCAGCGATGTCAATTGGAGCGCGAGGAGTGGCTGGGTCAGGGGGCGTATCGTCACCAAGATTGACTGCCTCCCTCGCGGCGCCGACCTGCTCGGCCGGGAGCCTCTCGTTTGCTTGGTCATTTTCAGCGACTTGAGTCTCCGGTGTCTCGTCTGATGAGTCGTCGTCCAGGTCAACGTTGAAGCCTTGTTGTTTTAGGACGCCCTTTGTCCACCGCAACGATTGTTTCGGCACCCCCTTGACGCGGCGAATAATCTCATGGCGATACACAAAGAGGGCCGTCATGAAGAGCAGGGCGACGAAGGGGTTGGTGAACGCCTCGATGGCACTGTTGGCCGCCTCCTGAGGGAGCTTCTTGACCCTCTCGATGACAGTGCTGCTGGGGCTAGGGGCATCAGTCACAATAGTGGGGACATCCGGGTGATCCTCCCGAGGGCCATCCAGCTGGGGCACATCTGAGCCTGCCGGGTTGGAGGACCCTGGTAGGAGTGGAATCCGGGGTCTGGTCCATGGCTTGCCAAGAAAATGCTGGCCCACCAAAACCTCGGAAAGCTTCTCGTCTCCCTGGAACCAGTCGAGCTCGGTTATGGGGGCTACTGGAGCTTTGGTCACCAGAGGGTACGCCCGAGCAGACATGGCATACCAGTTGCCGGCAATCTGGTCGAGGAGTATAGCACCGCTCCGCACCAGAGCCTCGTGCTCGTCCTTGGCCGGGAGAGCGGGCTGCGGCAGGGCGATGAGCTCCGGGTTCTTCTCGTCCTCTTCGTACTGGTTGTCGGTGCGAGCCGGGCGAATGACGTCGAAGGCCCTGGCGATCGGGGTCGGGAGATGCTCGACGAAGGAATTACGGCGCTCAGCGTTTCCGTTGTAGTCGATACCATAAACGCGGCCGTCGTGTCGACTGGTGATGTAGAGCTTGTCCATTGTGGTGGAATACTGCCGCATCAGGTCCTCGTCCTTGATGTTCGGACTCCACTCGGAATACTTAAGCGTAGCCACAGGGTACCCACGTGGGTTGGAGATACCGACAGTGTATTCTGTGCGCCCCAAGGTGATGGTGCCGCCATAGCACTCCTCGGAGTCGGCGCTAGCCACTGGGTCCAGAGGGCGGGGGCAGCTATCATAATCCTCGGCAGTGGATGCGGTTGGCCCGAACCACCGGATGGCACGGCCGGTGGCAGCATCGAGGGCGAGAATGTTGGTCTCCTTCTTGCCCGTGTAGACGAGGCCGTACTCCTTGTTCTCGTAGGGCGACATCTTCTCGACGAGCTGCTTCATGGACAAGCCGGTGGCCATGACGCCCTCGGTCTTGCCGGGGGCGTACATGTAGATCTCGCCGTCGCCGGTGGGTTCGATGGCCCAGACGCTCTGGTCCCAGATGGTGGAGTCGGCATCTGCGGGTGATTTGACCTGGCGGTGGTGTTTTGTCTCGACCATGGACTGGCCGAGGGAGATGTGCCAGCGCTCCTTGCCACTTTTCCGGTCGGCGGCGTAAAGGTCTCCATCGATGGTCGCCAAAAGAACAAAATCTTCCACTTCCCAATCATTAATCGACCTGTCGGGGGTCAACGGTGAAGGGGCTCGGACGGACCGCCCTTGGGATAGGTCCGGAGCCGCAGCAGAGATAGCGCTCGCATCGTAGGGTTGGATGTTTTGTTGTTGTTGATGTTGTTGTTGTCTGTATGGGGGGTGTTCTTCCTTGATGGATTGTGTGTTGGTTCTCTTCCTGCGCGAGGCAGAGTGCGGGGTGTCGACTTCGGGTTGTGTCAGCGCAGTCGCAGCAAGATTGCGGATGACACCGTCCCCCTCGAGGGGGGACTCGTGGCGGGCCTGAGGCCTGGCTCTAGCAGGCTTGCCATGTTGATCGGCGGGATGGGGATGCGGGTGAGGGTGAGGGTCGGCAGCGCGAGGGGCAGCTAGAGATGGCGAGGCAAGAGCAGGTGGTTGTGGCTGATGCTCGACGGAGTGGAAGTCGACAGCTTCGACGAGAGGGAGGACGGGCAGCAGCAGGGCAGCGAGGACCCAGAAGAACTTCCTGTTGTTTGGTTGCTGGACGACATGCCGTCCCTCGCCAGGAGGCCGTCGCAGCATCATTTGTTTATCTAGCCGTCTAGCAGCGCTGTGGGATAATCGTCATTTGGCGATTATCCCAGAGTGGTATTTTGGTGGAAGGACGTTTTGTGACTTGTGTCGGGAGTAAGAGTCGGCGGTAGGAGCCGGGTCCGGTGGGCCACGTCTGCCAGGGGTGGGAGGGTTCAAAAGAGTCGGTGGATGTCGCTGGATGGCGGTCAAGCCGTTGGATGCAACTGGAGCTCGAGTCAAAGGAGGGCGGGATTGCTGGCTTGTCAACCCATCAAGAGGCGGCGGCGGCAGCAGCAGCAGCAGGACGAGGGCGAGGATGAGAGACGCAGAAGACGAGCTCGAGGAGTTTTTGCCGAGTGTGACAGTGGTGCTAGTCCTGTGCAGGCTAGGTTTGGTCGTGTCAGGCCAGGTCAGATCAGGGCTGGGCAGGGTCGAGCGAGGGCTCGAGGGCTCGAGGGCTGAGGGCTGATTGTTCGGGCTGTGGTTGCGCAGGGTTTCGCTCTGCTCGGCAGTCCGGCCGAGTCGTGTTGGCGGCAAGGACGGGCCTCAGCTTGATCAAAGCAATGGCACGCACAGACAGGGCGGAAGCGAAAAATTGCCCAAGATGACGAAGGATGTTTGGCGATGATGGTGGTGAGGTGAGGACACTCGGTTCGCTGGCGTCAGACAGGCAGAGGTGTCGACTGTGGACTTGTGGACTATGGGCTGCGGACTGTGGGTTTGGAGTGGACTGGTGGGAAAGGGGTCGAAGGTCGAGCCTTGCTTGGAAGCTTGGAATGCTGGGAGTGGCTGCCAGTGCTGGGAATGCTCAGGCCTGGGGAGGGGGACGGGGACGGGGACGGGGTGCAGCTGTGAGCCTGTGAGCCTGTGACTAGATGGTTCGACGGGGAAGCGTGTGGGTGGCTGTGAGTCCTTCCTTCCTCCCTGCCCCTCGGTATGGGGTACCTCTACTGAGCGGTAGCGCGTGGTGTGAGACGGCCTAAACGGCACTCCGTACTCCGTACCTGGGTACCTACGTCGTGCGGTGGAGGTAGGGGTCGGGTGTGCGGGACGGGGTACGTTTCTACTGGGCAGGGACAGCGTTGGAGGGAGAGGTGGGACTGGAATGTGGGTGGGCCTTGCAGCTTGCTCCAGGACGGCTGGACGGCTGGAGGGGAGCTCAACAGTCACCGCAGGAAGCTGACAGCTGCACACAGCCAGTCAATCAGTCACAAGGGATGAGTTTTGGGATGATGGGAATGGGATCCTCGATTCCAAGGGAGAGGGTTGATCAGATCTCCTACATCGGTTGACTTGCAATATAACACTGCTCATCAGCCTAAAATGCTGGCAGAAACAGAGCTGACGAAACCCAAGACATGCAAATCTGGCAGTTCTGGGCCAGCAAGTTGGCCCATATATTATGACCTCAGAACCGATTGGACAGGCACACAATCACCTGCACACCACCTCTGTCCAATAATCCCACTGCTCTACTGTTGACACCCGAACCAGCAATGCAGCCGAGGGCATAGGAAGAGAAGCTGCAGGATTGCAGCCATCGTGAGACGGGCCTCATAAGCCCAGGAATCCAGTGTTTCACCCGGGGGCCATTATAAGAACACCTCATAATCCGTCTCACAAACCTCGGAAGCCCTATGAATCCTCCTCGCAGCTGCCATACAGTACCGTAGTCCACGAGTCGCAGTGCATGAACTTTAACGCTTTTCATGCCGTGCATATACCTACGTGCCGCGCAGTACATTGCGCACAGCGAATATGCATCATCCCGAGAGCTTCTGGCCCTGTCGGTGCTGGTCTAGCTCGACGACCTGGAACGAACGGACTGGCGGACTGACGGACTGACGGACTGTCGGACGGATTAATCAAACCAGCAAAACAAACCCCCTTCGCCACCGACTCCACCCACTCCTCGTCAATTCGGTCTGGGGTGCATGCGTCAAAACTTGAACTGACGAACTGGACTGCCAGACTGCTGGGCCGACCAAGGGAAGCGGCAGCAACGGCGGATAATCGGCCGACGTCGATCAGTTATAGCCCGAGGGGTTCACACACACTGACACACTACACTAGCACTTCCATCATCAGATCAGGCGTCTATCTGCTAGCCGACAGGCTCCCCAAAGCCTGTTTTTTGCTGTGGCCCAGCCAGCCCAGCCCAACCCGACGGACCCTGCGTCTGCGGATCGGGCCCCCTCTGCAAGGGCGACCGAGAGAGGGGCTAGGCTCGCCCTAGTTTGCCACCGCCAATGCGCATCTACTTCCCTCATTAACAGTACTTCTCCAGGGTACACAGTCTGACAGTCAACATCACCTCACCCAGGGTTTGAAGGCTAGGGGGGGGGCTCCAGTCATAACCCCGCCTTCAAACCCTCAAGTGTTAACCCCCTCATTACTAAGGGCGTTATCACGGAGGGAAGTCAGTCTGGTGGTAATTACACCTATAAAGTTACTTTCATATTAAGTTTGTTATATATAGAAGCGAGAACTTACTTATAATAATTTCTAGTGTAGAAGACTAGTCTTAGTTTAAGCGTCTTTAAATATAGAACGCCCTTCATGTTTGAAAAAGAATTCCGAAAGAGGTATAGCGTGCCCTGTTTGTTTACCAGGTCAAACTGACTTCCCTCGGTGAACACCTGTAGACGCTCTTAGACGTGAACATGCCACCAGCGCTTGACCGCCTGCAAGTCTCGACTAGCCGTCGGAAACGGTGAAAACCTTATCCATCCTTACACCTGTGGCAGCTGGGTCACGAGATCTGGCTCGGACTGCTCCTACTCCCTCCACAACTGCGCTGTCCTAGGACTTTACAGCCAGGGAGTTCAGGGAGACCCTGAATTGTCTCCTCGAATGTACATGTCCTATCAATTATTGGTATCATCCTTGTAATAAATCCTGAGAAACACCTACACACGTATTTATCTACCTACGTAGCCTCGCCGGACCTCTGCGAGTGTCCGGGTAGTAGCCAGTGCTAGATGTCCCTAGTTAACTTGGAAAAAAAGCCGAGCCTCACTCTTCTTCAGCGTACATGGAACTTGGATCCGAGACGCTTCGAATTTGAGGATGAAATAGCTCCGGATGCATTAATAGGAAAGGTACGGAGTAACGTGCAAACGATGATGAGAAGGAGGATGTTGCGCGGGTAGGATGTGTTTTGTCTGAATGCCCCACCGCATTGATGTAAAAGATGTATGATCTCTTGTCCCTGTCGATACTCATTGTTCTTTGGATAAAGTGGAACATTGCAAGTACTCTATAGCTTGCTTGATTGAATAGACATCCGGCTCACTGGGAAGTGTCTGTGGAAGATTAATGGATGGCGAAAACTGCTAGGTTGATTTTAAGTAACTAAACATTGTTCTACAAAAATGGAGAGGCCTGTTGTCGGTTTACAGGCTAAACACCTGGGCCAAAACTCTTCAGACTAGTAGCTGGGAGAGTATGATATCGTTGGCTCTGTACAATGCTGCGAGCTGCGAGAGAGATACGTGCGTTATCCGATGACGATAACTAGGTTCTAAGGGGAGATGAGAAACCTGTAATAGGCCGCATGAACGGGCCCGAACCCTTGATATGTGTTCTTTTGTATCCCGCCCATTATTCGAACATGCTCACATAGAGGAAGTTCTGGTATCTACGCCGTACCCACAGCCAGAAGCAGGACACTCCCCAGGTTGTTTGCCTAGGACGGCCGTCAACATGGTAGCGTGAAGACATCATCTGTTCTTTCCTTGTTTTCCGTGGTTGTGGGGGCCCACGATGTTTGGGAAACGGCGAGCATCTTGCTCAAATGATGGGTCGCTGTATTCAACCAATGTAATGCCAAATCTATAAATACACAAATTGTATACTTAACGCAGCATCTAGCACTGGTACGTTGTCTAAAACTTCAATTTCCATGGAAGCAAACCCTTTCCAATGCCCAATAAGCCTCATTTTCTGGGAAGGATTGTGTACATGCCGCTCCATCGAAGGGACTGTTTGCTCTAAAGTATGTTGCATTTCGACAGCACTAGGGGACTAATTGTGACGGCAAGCTACTGGAGTGCCTAAGTTTAGCACTGAGACCGCGGGTACGTGTTCAAGGGTGGCCGATCTACCTAGGTACGTCATCGTACAGACAAAGTCGACAGAGCTGCCTACTTGTGTACCTAGGTATATGAGAACCTGCACGTCTGCGCCATGATCCCGTGTTCTTCATTCCTTCGTCGTCCACTGCCTCTTCAAGGGACGCTTTGCGGCTTACTTAACCATCGAACCCAACCCCTTCAACTCCGAATACCGCAAGAAGATGGATGAAAAGAACCTCCAACGTGCCCGCGACGCGATCAGGGTGCGAGTTTCGGTACGTGATGTTATTCCGAATTTAGCCACTAGCAGTGGCCGTTCACGGCTACCCAAATTCGAGCTACAAATGGAGATTGACACATTCCAGAGTTTACAAATTCAGGTCGATTACGAACGTCTTACGCCATCTCTCCGAGAGGAAATTGTCCATGCCCTTGAAGTGCACGAGCAAGCCCTCGAACAACCGAGCCTCGACGTGCCTTTCCTCGAAGAGCTCGACAGGCTGCAGGACAAAATCGACGAACACTGGTCAAGGGTCTACAAGAGCTGCATTGATCATTCCCACCTTGTGGCTGATATAGGCCAATACCAACTCTTCCTGACACAATTACTCCTGGCGGAATATACAGGAGCGGTTTTGACCGACAGGCGATCGATTGGGTGGCTACATCAAGCCGCATCTCACATTGAGAGGGTCGGCAAAGACAGGAGCAGCGAATTTGCAGAGATTTACTACGAAAACATCGCACAACCAATCAACGAACTATTGCTCAACAATGCTCATGTACAGATAAGGTTGCTAATATCTGCCGCCGATGATGAACAGAAGCGCCCTCTAGGTGGTTATGTCCAGTATCTCATCGAATGGTGCGATTGGAACGACCTAGCAAAGTATGTCTACAACGACCGTGAGCTTGCCATTCGTCTCTTCAAATACGATCCAATTATCCCGGGCTTGTTTGATGGTGGTACACGTGAAAAGGTCTTGGAAGGCATCACAAGTGTGCAGGAAAAGTATTTCACCAACATTTCGAGCCTGGATGAGTACACGTTAAGCAAGTATGCCATGGGCCTAAAGCCGCCGCTTGAAAAGACTCTAGATTCTTCCCGTGTACCCCCCGCGGAGCCTGCAGTCGAACATAAAAAACCCATGAGGAATGGTCTCTCTGCTCGGAACCACGGCAGACGCATTATCAGCGCCATTACAGGCGGGATTAAATCCCTAGGCACGGGTTCGGGACATCAAGAAGGGGCCGGTCAGCAGGCCTCTGTGAATACCACAAAAGACGAGAGGGCACCGTTGTTGGAAGAGAAGAAGCTTTGAAACAGTTTCTACGGTTTTGGCGAAAGCACCGGTTTCTAAAGTTTTACCCGCCGTGCACCAAATATTCAAAGCATCCTCAAATATTACACAAGCGATGCCGAGGAGCCCTTGAGATTCCTAGTGCACATGTGACCGTGGTAATTGAGCGCATGTAGGCGGCTCGCTGTCACAGCATCACTCAGGGGGGCAAGCCTATTGCCCCAGACTCCGTGCGTGGAATCATTTGGTCGGCTTTCAATATAGCCACCAGAAGCGATGTCGACGCCTGCGATTTCCCCGCTGCCGTCTTTTCTCTCGCATCTTCACGGGTTAACCTCACTTGACATCACTACACCCGTTTCGCGTTGGCAAGAGCACCCAGGTACTTGTTAAAATCACGTCTACCCTGCTGTGCATGAATGATATCAGGGAGGAGAAAAGGTCCTATCAATTTGAAATACTCGTCAAAATCTGGCTAGCGCGCCTGGTCGCCATAGCCGCGTTAAGGGACCCTCTGCTCCATACACCGGGTCTTCTTCAGGCGTGGCAACATCCTGAATGGTCTTCCCGAAAGCATCCGCTGGATTTTTCCCCGTCTCATTTGTCCAACGAGGACATCCCTATGTTGGTGTAAGCAGGGGAGGGAAAAGACGTGAACAGGCCGAAATGGCCAGAAAGTGAATCGCGTGACAAGAAAATGCGGTTGGGTTAAAAGAAGTAATTGATAAGGAGTGAAGAGTCTCTGTGAGAAGGCAGTTCCAGAAATGAGGGCACAAGAAACAAAAAACATGATCACCTTGGGATGCATGTCGCAGCCTATTCTGTAAAACGGCCATTTTAAAGGCAAAAATGCCCAGTCACTCACTTCTGGGTAGACGCCAATATAGCGATAGTCAGACGTGCTCTTCAGGCAAAAATGCGCAGTGCCAGCTGGGAGCACTATAACGTCGCCTGTTGCCACTGATACTTCCAATGCCCCTTCAAAATCATCCGTTATTCTGCCTAGTAACAGCCTGGATGAACCTTGAAAGATTCCTGTCAAGAAATCAGCTGTTAAACCCTCCAGAATCTGTTCATAGTAGCACCTGGCCTGATTCAACGACAAAATACACCAGGCTTGGTTGACATCACTCACCGTAACATTCATGACTGTTTGGATGGAAGTGTCGTATATCAATGTGGCCCCACGTGCCCTTCCAAGGTTGCAAGAGGTCAGAGTGGCGAAAATGGCACAGTTATTGTCTCATACGAAATGGCGAAACGCACTCTTTTTTCCCATCGATGAGAAGTGAGATACTCAGTGGCCGTCACCTCCGTTCGCGGGTGCGGTAGCACGTTTCGGTAGTGCAGGACAGGCAGTATGCTGTTTGGCACATCTGCGGCTGGAGTTAGAAAGTAACATTGCACCGTAGAATGCATGTTGCTCTGAGCCCGGAGTCAAGCCGGCAAAACTTCAGAATACTGTTTCTCTGCAGTGAACAATGCGTGGTCTCCAAATATGATACTTCGAAGTCCCAACGCGGAGCCCGGACCGGCTTCCGGACGAGCTCCCGTCTCTGCCAAGCCTCCCTCTAAGAGAAGTAGGTATTCTGTCTACAGAAACGTCGGGTATGGACCCACTGTGACTGATCTGGTCTCAATTTGGAAGATTACACCATGAGTGACTCGACGTATCTATATGTGGATTGTAGATAAATTATTCAAAGGATTCTACTAGTAGCATTCGGTTTGAATCTCAGCGCGCGACTGGCACTTTTGTCCGATAATGGACTCGATCGATCTGTATTTTGTCCTTTTTCTTTGCTAACTCTAGTTTGAGGCTTCCAAATTGGACCTAAATCATATCATCTGGCAATGGATTATGCTTCCGTAGGTAGAAGCTTATATCATCTCCCCTGCGAGGAATTGTTGCCGTTGTAACACGGCTGTCGCTTTCATCAACCCCTAGGGGATCGATAGAGGGGTCTTCTACCCATGAGATGCCTGGACCCCAGTAACTGAACCGATTCTGTGTTGTATATTTCCAGTCGTAATCCTCCCATCGGTCTTCCGCCAAAGTCTGAATGTAATGCAATGAGCTGCCAGGCCACAATGCTGTGACTCTTCCGTTCGTTTTGACTGGGGAGGATTGTTAGGTGGTCAGTAAAAGGTCTCATAAAATATCCCAAGTTTGAAAGAAGGATTGAGCCATACACCAACTATTGCATGTCCCTGTCCACACCATATCTTGCATATACGCATTTGTGTGATTAACGAAGTCATCTTGTGCTTCCCTTCTCACATCGAAACACCGAACCCTTTGTCGTAGCACCCTTCTCAGAAGACGGATGAAGTAGTCGCTTGTTGCCTCGAGGGAACCTGATTATCGTGTCAGCATCGTGTTAAAGTGCACTTGCGCCATCACTGCACTCACCCATTAGGCTACCATTTGAGATAGGCGTGTTTGGGCCAAGAAAAGTGAGGTAATTGGGGAAGCCTGCCACACCAATTCCCATATAGGAGGCCGGGTCAGAACGCCACACGTCCTGCAAATTGAGACCGTCCCGACCAATGATGGGAAACCGAGGTCTGAAAGTAGTGTCGAACCCAGTGGCCGCAATGAGAACATCAGCTGCATGCTCCACGCCTCCCGACACGACGACACCAGTAGCTGTGATTTTCTCGATAGGATCAAAATTCGCGTGGACATTGGGTTCCTGTAACGCGACGAGGTATTGTTCACCAGGATTGATCCGCCTGCACCCAGCCTCGAATGACGGGATCAACTTTTCTTGTAGGGTTTTGTCTATGATGAGTTCCCTCATACGTGACTCGAATTGAGCTTTCAAATCTTTCTGCTCAGGAGTCTTCTTGAAGTAGGCCAGGAAGTTACCATTGCTGGGAATAAATGTCAGTTCTGGAGGGTGCCAAGAGCAAGTTTGGCAACCACACACAAATAGTTTTCAAGCTCCTTGCGAGTCTCAAGGTAGGCGTCCTCATCACTGGCAAATCGCTCCATATCTTTGATGCTATAAACCGGGTTCATATTTTCAGCATCAGCCAAGGTGATTCCAGCAGGTGCCGTGATCCAAGACGGGGTTCGAATGTAGACATCGACTTGGCTGCACAGTGGCTGAATCTGGGGTAGTAGTTGAACGGCGCTTGCACCGGCACCAATGACGGCGACCCTCTTCCCATCAAGCTTTACGCTGGAGTCCCAGCTTGCCGTGTGGAGGTGCTGACCCGCAAAGCTTGAGAAACCCGGTATGCTAGGAAGTTTGGGGTTGTTGAGGATGCCGCCTGCGTTAACCAAAATCTCTGACTGAATAACATCTGCCATCCCGTCGATCGTGACGTTCCATTTCGCTAAATTCTCAGACCACCTCGCTTCAATGACCTTACTGTTGAAGTGGATGAACTGTTCGAGTCCATGAACGCCAGCAAAACGTTTCAGATAGGCTTGAATCTCATCAGATGATGCATAGCTGGATACGGTCCCACGGGGTGACTCAGTACTCTGGTAAAGTGGACGGGGCGCAGGCAAGGTACTCACAACTGTGACCACGACGGGTTCAGAGCAAAGGGGTACTGATATATGTGGCTTGGAACGTCACAAGCACACCCTGGAGTGAGATTGAATCCTTGATCAGTCGATGATTTTGTCACATCATGGCTGGCTTCATTGCTTGTGTATTCACACGTGCAAAACGAACCTGGATATTTGTTCTCAAACCATGTTCCTCCTAAATCAGGAGACTTCTCGTAAATTGAGAATGCGATGCTGCCATTGAAATGCTCGCGGAGTTTGTATGCTGAACATAATGAGATGTCATCAGAGTGAATTGATTATAAGGGGAACTCATCGTACCCATCAGCAAACCTGATACCCTGAGACACAATGTTAGCTCACACTAACCCTTTTCTTGGGCATGCTCAAGACTGACCCTGCACCAATAATGATGCAACGGAGTTGGCTTCCATTGGCTTGACACCCATCTTCCGGGCTTTGATCATTACTGACAGGCGCCATTGCCCGCCTGGGTCTGTGAATGCGTGGAGGAACCAGAGAAGCGAGTCGGCAAGAGTAGAAGCATTAGACAAGCGACTTTCGACATATCCAATAACCTATCACTTAGTTGCCTGCCAGGATATGAACAAACTGAAGATAGAACTATACTAGACAATAATGAGAGTTCAACGGCTGCTATCTCATCCAGCGACTCTGTGAGCCACCGGCGGACGGGCCGTTTCCGATACATACCGGGCGGTAGATTGGAATCATCCAACCTTGATGTCTATTATCAAGTTGCCAAGACCACAAGTTTAACATTTGTGTCCCTCGCACCAAAGTAAGAGCTTGAATATCGTGCCTATCCGGCGAGTCGCTGATTCTCGGGGCTACTGAGACATGTTTAGCCCACCCGGACCCGGGCCGTCTTCCGTCCCCACTTTGATACGCGGTGTGATATTCACGGACACGGACAGGAACCGGAACGGAATCGAAACCAACAGGAATACAGGGCAAATGATAAATGTATGGAAAGGAGATTGTATTTATTTTGGGGACCTTGATTATGACGTGCGTAGTGAACCAGTGCTGCAGTGCCATAGCGAAGTAGACCTTATTCCTGCTTACTACGGATGAATCCCTCAACCAAATTTTGCTTGATACAGAAGCCTTCGTGTGGAAGATTCTTATCATAAATCAAGATGAACAGGCTCCTAGGGCTTGTGAAGGCTCCGGCTGAGAGCAACTCCGAGCATGCGCCCACCCTGGCTTTACCGTCCGTTTGGTACAGATCTCCAGAGATGTACGAGCTGGAGAGAAGAGCCATCTTCTCCCGCAAATGGATGTTAGTGTCCCATGAATTGAGGCTCCCGAAGACAGGAGACTTTGTCCGAATCACAGAAGCAGGTTTCCAATTCTTCTTGATCAAGGACCGTGAAGGCAACATCAATGCCTTCCATAACATCTGTCGACATCGCGCATTTCCAATCATTGAGCGGGACTGCGGAACCTCCAGTGTCCTTGCATGCAAGTACCACGGTATGTCAAACCAGATTGTAATAGTCAGCGCGCAGCACAAAAGGTATCAATTGATTGTTTCCATGTCTGACAGGGTGTACAGGATGGTCGTATAGCTTCAAGGGAGCCCTGGCCAAAGCACCCAAGTATCAAGACTTGGACGGGTTCAAGAAAGAGTCAAACGGTCTTTTCCGTATTCACGTACACATCGACGACCTCGGCTTCATCTGGGTTAACCTAGACTCAGACCGCACTCCGGCCGTCTCATGGGAAGACGACTTCGAGGGAGTTGACCGCCAAACAAGACTGCAGGAATTCAATTTTGCCGAGTACCACTTTGATCATCAGTGGGAGATGCTAGGAGAATACAATTGGAAGACATTGGCAGACAACTACAACGAGGTAAGTAGGTGATACATGCAACAGTAACTGCATTTACCTCAAGTCCAAAGGCCTATCTCATTAGATACTGACGCCGAAAGTGTTATCATTGCCCCACTGGCCATCCAGCCTTGAACGGCCTCACGGACCTCAACAAATACTGGGTTGAGACGAAGGGTGGCCATATCCAACATTTCAACACCGACAAGCCCGGTGTTGTCGGGTTGGGGATATACAGTACCTTCTACTACCCCAATGCGTGCATGACAGTCTCGTAAGTGTTCAAATCATTAGAATCAAGTCATCCATAAGGATTCTGGCACGTCCTGATCTTGTAAAGCCCGCACTTCTTTTACATGATGCGATGCATCCCAGTCTCGGCCACTCAAACACAGATGGAGTATGAATTCTACAGGCACAGAGATGCGACAGATGAGGAATTCACGTACGTCACGGAGACATTCAAGACAATTTTAAGGGAGGATAAAGACCTCTGTAATGCCGCCCAGAGGAATTTGAATGGGAGCGTCTTCATCAATGGAGAGCTTCACCCTACTGCGGAAAAGGCAAGTCTTCATGCATACTCTGAGAGCACATCTCACATGTAATCCCTCCCTCACTGACAGACATGGTGAACAAAGGGCCCCCTGTACTTTCAAAAGGTCACTAGAGACTTGGTGAAGAGTCACTATGAGAGAGAAGCACAATTGAAGCGGGAGCTCTGGCCCGCAACGCCGCAGTACAAGTTGACTGAAAAGACTCAGGAGGACATAGAGCTTTGTGAGAAAATCACATGCTCGGCCTCAGAGCAGTTGGCGTGGTAGTATTGAGTGCAGTGGCCACATTGTTTGTACGGTTCCGAGCAGGCAAACGCGGGATGGTCAGAAGATGGCAAATTTTCGTCCAACAGGTCATCCGACAGTGTCTATTCAGGTAGATACAAGGACTTCAGTTGTTGTGGTAAGTTGATGATAAACATAGCTAGTTCCAAATTACATGCTGTATTCAGACAACTGGCCCCTTGCTCTTACGCCCGTTTCACAGGTCCAAGTCCAACCACGCATCAATCGTTCTATTGTAAGCATCAGCTCCTAGGAAAAATCCCGGTGGGCTCTGAGTCCGGCCCACCGCGTTCATAAATGGTGGCGATATAGCTCCTGGGACTGCTTCCGGGACAGAAGTGGCTCTCGGAATGGGTAAGCTTGAGTCCAGAATGGTTGCATCTTGTCCTGGAGCATGAAGAGGTGTCTCCTTGTGAACCGTCTTGTGACCAGCAATGCCCTCGGAGCCGATCAAGTCGAACTCTGTCTCGACCTCTCCTGCCTCCATCTCTGGAGCCAACGAAGTTGGCAGAAGCGTGTCTCCAAATACTGATGAAAGGTTCTCAGATAAGCTGGAGTATCCTGCCTTCTCGTAGACCAACAATTCCCATAGTAATGCTGCATCGATTGACCAGGTTTGCCCTTCCGGTGCATGGTCATTCAGTCGTGCAGTAGAAGCGTCCACAACACCCACGACGCTTTTTTGTAGTCTCTGTAACTTATCTGCCTGGGAAACATTACGATGTCAGTCAGAATGGACAGGCGGTCGGAAAGTGGCATGGGGGGGGGGGAAGCATACCGTGACGCTTATGTTAGGCCATATACGCCCGAGTCCCCGCAAGAACACCATACACTTCTCGAACCCGGTCTGAGCCCTGGCACGAAGTGTGTCATTACGCACAAAGCTGTGTTGGAGGTGAATCGTAGCTATAATAGCAACGCACTGGCCCAAGACAGGGTCCGAGATCTGAAATGTCTTGCTTTCGAGCAAGTCAAGGAAGTACATGATCCAGCCCGCGTGGCGCGTGATCTGTTCAAAGGATTGCTGGATGAAAGATTGCGGCATCGTGTGCCGGAAGTTTCGAAGCCTCATCGAGAGCAAGAACGGGTGATTCAGCAGGCAGGGGATCGCAGCATAGACGAATTGCACGAAAAGCCATGGCCCCCAGTAACCTCTCTGCTCCTGAAGCTCGGCAGAATCGAGTTCCTGGAACTTCAAGTTGTTCTCGCGCCAGCGGTACTTGGTCGGTACCCGGCTGTCGATATCGAGGTGTCTCGACATGATGTGTGAGTAGTCGGAGTCCGGTTTCCAAGGGGGCAAGGTGTTCGAGTCTGCTGGGCGGGCGGCGTAGCAGCTTGCCATGTGCCATACCTCAGAGAGCTGGTTGGTGAAGACTAGAATATCGTCCTTTTCGTTGTTTCCGGCGCAAGACAGCAATTGTCTCACTGCCAATGGCGAGTCTGCATAGCTATTGTAGAATCCAGAAGAAGGCTCGGGAGTCACCGACCAACCCGCAGTGTGATGCAAATTGTGTAGGGTAATAAGGCTCTGGACGCATGCGATGAACTCGGAGTTCTGAATCAGGGCCCTAGTTTGACAAGGTTTCAACGACCATAGTAAGTTCTGGACAAGTTGTAAGCCATGGTCGCAGTTCATATATGCTCTGAGAGTCCTTCCAGCTGTAATGAGTGATACGATTAGTTGCAGAACTCGCGGGAGGGTCACCGCTACATACCTGCAAAGTCAACCATACTCAACATGCATAGTGTCTGCAAGGTAGACAGCTGCACCTCGCCTTGTGCAACTCTCTTCATGACGAGTCGATAAGACGTTTCTGCCAGAGACCTTGTCTTCTCCGAAATCTCCTGTGGGCTTGTCCTTGCAGTAAACCGTAGAGACAGACTCTGGAGTGCCAGGATTAGCTCGTGGTCTCTTGACTCGAGCGAGTCAAGAAAGCTGTCTTCATCAAATAGTTGCAAAGGCTGCCGATGACACCAAGTCATATAGAGGCGGCCATGGTCTCGCAGGTCCTGGGAAGCGCTCCCACTTGGCGATCCGTCCGTTCTACCCTTTGATTAGCACAATGGTCGGAAGTATGTATTGGTATCTACAGTGATTGAAAGCATGGGTATAGATACTGCTGATGTACACATGCCCTTGCAAAGCTGACTCCAGGTGCCTGAGGCTTGAAGAAGGTTGAACATTCGATTCATGTGACTCGTTTAGCATGGACGGGATTTCTTGTGTAGCCACAGGGTAGCTGGCTCTACTGGCGATCTCGGGTCTAATGGAGAGATATCAGAGACGCTCGATAAAAGGAGATCTCGACCGGGGCTGATGCTGTGGCTGACCGTAGGCACTGGATAAGCTGATCCAACTTGCTCTCCAGCTGGTGGATTCTTTCTTGCTGGGGATGCCGATCAGTCTACTGTTTATCATACACTTGAACTGACTGACAAAACACAGCGAACCATTGCATGGTTGGGTCGTTCGTCTTCTCCTGTGGCGTACACGCAGTCCTGCCCGAGACGAACACAATAGGAGCAGGCTGGCCTCTCACCAGGGCATTTTAACTTTTTTCTCCTGTAACATGTTAGGAAACTTTGACGTCCGTCTGCTCGCAAGCACAGGAAACATAAAATCGCTCTCACCGGCACGGCTCACAGGCTTGACGCGCCCGTTTTGAGGGTCTATACTCCTCCATCGCGGATCCCGTGGACAACGCGGTATTCCGTGTACCTAGTTCCGCATTATAATTGTAAAATGTTAACAGTAATATTAATATTTTAAGAAGCAAAAAATATTTAAACCAGGCACCCTAATACTACTAATAAGGGCTTGGCATTCTTATTAGCTACAGCTCTATTTTTTAAAAATATTACTATTAACCCTACCATTTAGTTACCATTATAGCCAGCCATTTTAAAATAAAATATAGCTAATTTCTTTCTACTTTAGCCCACTATAAAATAAATTTTTTATATAAAAATAAAATATATACTTTTAACTAGTAATAATTTTATATTAAGTTATAAAATGGGGGCTAAAAATATAAAAAAAACCAAAAAAATTAAAAAAATTAAAAAAACTAAAAAAACTAAAAAAACTAAAAAAATTAAAAAAACTAAAAAAACCAAAAAAACTAAAAAAATTAAAAAAATTAAAAAAACTAAAAAAACTAAAAAAATAATTAATTAACAAACAATATATTATTTAGCTTCCCAACCTTAATCTACTATAAAATAGGCTTTTAATATAAAAGTAGAATATAAATTTCTAATTTTAAAAATAAAACTTTATATTAAACTATTAATAAATATAATATTAAAAATTAAAGCAATTAAAAATAATAAATATTATACTTTTACTTTAATTAATTAAATTTTAAATATAAAATATTTTATTTATATTTAAATAGCTTTATATTAAGCTATTAATAAATATAAAAGTAAAAACCAAAAACTATAATAATTAAAAAATAATAATAATTAATAAAATAATAATAATTAATAAAATAATAATAATTAATAAAATAATAATAACTAATAAAATAATAATAATTAATAAAATAATAAAAACTAAATTTTCTACTTTTAAATATAAAAGCTTTTACTTATATTTAGGCGGCCTTATACTAAACTATTAATAAATATAAAATTAAAAACCAAAATAATTAAAAAATAATAATAATTAAAAAATAATAATAATTAAAAATAATAATAATTAAAAAATAATAATAATTAAAAATAGCAATAATTAAAAAATAATAATAATTAAAAAATAATATTAATTAAAAAATAATAATAATTAAAAAAATAAAATAATAATAAACTTTAATAATAAATAAAACCCTATAATAAAAATAAAAATATTAAAATAAAAACTAAAAAAAAATAAATAAGGTAAGGTATATTTATAGTAGCTAACTAAAAATATTATAAAATTATATATAATAAATTAATTATAATAACTATATATAAACACCTAATTAAATAAAAATAGCTTATTTAAGTTTAAAAGCTAAAAAGTTATTAAAAATAAAAGTTTTAAATTAGTAAACTAAATTTTTATTTAAATATATTAATATAAAAGCTTTATAATAATATAAGGCTAAAATCTCTTTAAGTTCTTTATAATATATACTAATATAAATATTTATTTTAATATATATATAAAAATATTTTAAAATATAAATATATAAAAAAAGGTTATTTATTTTTATAAATATATTTAAAATTTTAATATAATATAATCTTTTATTATTAACTTTTATTAATAACACTTAATATAATATAATTATATTTTTAAAGCCTAAATTAAATAATATAAAATTAAAAGTTAAATATATATAAATAGCTATAATAAAAATTTTAGCTTTTTATATTTTAATTTTAATTATTAAGCTAAAAATTTATTAAATAGCTTAAAATTAATACTAATTATTAAAATAAAAATTAAAAACTTATTTTTTTATTATATATATTATATTAATTATACCTTTTATAAATAAATTTAAAATATTTCCAAATTTTTTAATAATTTCCATAATCTAATATTTTATATTTTATATAAATATTTAAATAATTACCTTAAAATTTAATCTTTTAAATTAAAACTAATTTCTAATTATAATAATATTAAAATAAAAATAAATAATTTTATATACTATTTTAAAATATATTTATTTTATAATAAAAATAATATTAATAAATACTACTAAAATTATATATAATAAATAATTACTATATTATAAAAATATTAATAAATTTACCTAAAATAAAAGGAAAATTTAAAAACTAAATATATAAGGCAAATATAAAATAAACTATAACTAATTAAACTAAAAGTATAAAAACTATTTTACTATATTATAAAAAATTTTATTACTAAGCCCTTATAAATTAGTAATTATATACTTTTATTAGTCCTATAAATTATATTTTAAAAATAGCATTAAATATAAAGTAATATAAATATTTATTAGCTATATTATTTAAATAAATAATAATTAAATAATAAATATATATATATATAAAAAAAAATATAATAATTAAAACCAAAAGCCTAAAATTTATTAATATTTATATTTTTATTAATAGCCTTCAATCCTTTATTATTTTAAAATAACTATTTCTCTTTTAAATTTAAGCTAGTAAATACTAGCTATATAAAATAGTAATTTTCCTTTTATATTTAAAATACTTTTTATAATTTTCTTAGCTTTATTAAATTTAAAAAAATATTAATAATAATAATAATAATCTATTTATAATAATTATAGCATTAAATAAAAACCTTAATATATTAGCTAGTTAATTATTTTTAAATATATATATATATAAATTTATTATATTTTTAATAATAAAATGCTAATTATTTTTAATATATTAAGCTTATAATTATTACTTAAAGCATTATAACTATATTATATAAAACCTAAAAGTAAAGCTATTTTATACTTTATTAGTATATAATAAAAATAAAAGGCTTAATAATTATAAAAATATTAAGTTTATTTAAGTTTCTACTTAAATAAATACTAATATAATACTTCTTTTAATTATACATCTTAAATTTTAATAATTAATCTTTTATAAATAAAATAATAGCTTAAAATAAAAATAAAGTTTTAAAATAAAAATAAAAAATATAAAATTAATTTATATTAATAAAATATATTTTTATAAAATTAAAAAAAATAAAATAGCAAAGTAGTTTGCATGCTATATACTACTTACTATAAAAAATACCTATATATACTATAATACTTGCTATTAAAAGCTAGTATACCTTATATAAAAATATAAAATTATAAATTTTATTAAATAATATAAAAGCATTCTTATATTAAGTAAAAAGCGCTATATAATTATGCGCCTATAATAAATTTTAAGCTTTATATACCCTTACTTTTAGGCATATAAGCGCGCCGCGCTATATTACCTATCTATCTACCTAAATAAATATTTTAGTAAATATTCTTATAATTTAACCCTATATTATATTTTAATTTATTTTATATAATTTATTTATATTTATTAATTAAAAAACCTAAATTATATATATATAAAGCTTATTATTAATAAGGTAAAAAGAAAAAATATTAATAAAAAAATAGATAATATAGTAATATTTTTTACCTTAAAGGAAAATATAAGAGGTAGGGGGAAATTAAAGGGTATAAAGGGCATAATAAAATATAAATTAAAATAAGCCCCCTATTATATATAAATTTATATATTAAAGGCCTATTTATAGCATATTAGTAGTATTAAACTTTATTATATTTTATTAAATTCTAGCAACTATAAACTTATATAATTATTTACTATATAATAAAAGGAGGCATATAATTAATACCTTTTTAAATAGGCTAAAAGGCTTAATTAATTTATTACTTATAACCTATAAATTAAAGCCTTTAAATGCTATTTATATTAAAAAAGTAATGCCTATAATATACTTAATATACCTATTAAATAAAGTAAAATTTAATTTTACCTACTTATATAAATTATATATAGCTTATAAAACTTAAATAATAATTATTTTATTATAATTTTATATTAATAGTTATACTAGTAAGGCCCATCTTTAAAAATTAAAATATATAAGAATATATTATTATATATATATAATTTATATAATATACTTTT